GATAGTATATATCATACTGAGGATAGTGAGCTTTTATAAATGAATTCTTGCAACCTCCCCAATTCTTACAACATGGCTACATTGGCCTTACTTTCTAGCAACAATTTATTCCATCAACTAGATATACGTATTGAACAAGATATTGACCACACAATAGTTGCATGCTTAAATAACATCGTGAACAAAAGTCGATACAGTAAGCTACTGCTTGTTGTCTTGTAACGTTTGCTTTATAACATCAAGAACAAATTACGGGGAGTCGATTTCCTCCTTAGCGTATGCGATAGTATTGCACCATACAATGGACATCGTATGAACTAGTTTGCAGATCATACTGTACTATGGACTAACATGGAAAGCGCATTGATGAATGTCGCTTAATTCTATGATAAATCTTGACTTTATTCCTATCGTAATCGATTGTTGACGCTTCTTTGCATCTCTTTATCCTTCATAAAGAATTAATGACAGCATGTTGATCATATTACCATTAGAATAAGGCATTAGTGATCAGGTTTCTATTCATTGAACAGCTTGTCTTACATCAATTCAATACCTTCTGATGCTTTATTTCCTCCTTCATCTGTGTATTATCAACGCGTTCTTTAGATGATTTGAATCATTGCACATGCTACTATCAATCTTTAACCAGTAAACTGTATAATATATACGAGTACTTGTATATCATCAGCTCGCTTCTCTAGATGATTTACCCAGTAGCAACTCACCTAGTACAAATGTGTAAAATGTTCCATCAACCTTTAAACTCAATTTGAGCGCTAATTTGTTGCCCATTGGGATCTCATGTGATGATTTATTCGTTACTGTCATTGGGACGATAAATCCTAGCGCTGTTGAGTTGATTTTAATCTGTTGATCATTACTCCTTATCCGAGCAGTTAGTTGTCGACAGCATAAGCTTGATTGCATGTGCTTATATTATTCATCCTTTAACAGTATTGCTAACTCATCACCTACTACAGTAAGACTTGATAGGATCTCTATGCCTAATCAGCCCTTTTTTCCCATATGATGTCAACGCATCTAGCTATTAAACAATACTTCAAGCCATTGGAAATCTTCTACCCTGATACAACTGAGGAAGGTATACGCATAGAATTCTCTTAATTATGAAATTACTTTTCTTACTTATTACTAAATGTAAAATATACTTATGTAAATAATTATTTTCTGATGTTCACTTGAATTATACTTCAATGCTAGCTTATTCATGAGATGCAAATTAGAGAGCAGGCAAAAGAAATAAAATCCATCACTCCTATCCACCTGGATGAGTTTTTAACTTCTGTCTGGTAAGATATTCATTATGACTATATCTTACAATGAGATAACTTCATAATGTGAGGATAAATAGATTAAATATAAGCTCGTATACCTTATAGCCTGCATATTGGTTTAATGTTTCATTTGATGTGCGATAATTCTACTATACTGTGTAAAAGATAAAATCAAATTAATGTTCATAAAGCTCACGATACAGACTCTTGTTATTAATGTCTGTCTTAATATGGGATAATTTCACAGGATAAAAAGTACATAGATCCTATAACTACTCATCAAGCTCACAGTACAGATCTTCTTTCACTATTTCTTTCAATATGAAATAATTTTATATTATAAGAGAAAATACATATAATAAATACTTGTAAGGCTATAATGCATCGTTTCACTATTTCTTTCAATATGAAATAATCTTGTAACATAAGAGAAAATAGATAAAATAAATACTTGTAAGACTCACAGTACTGGACATCGTTTCAGCTTTTCTTTCAATATGAGATAATTTGACAACATAGAAGAAATTACATCTAATCAATACTCGTAAAGCTCGCTGTCCTAGTATTGTTTCATTGCAACTTTAGATATGCATCTGTTATATGATTTGAAAGAATCACTCCGTATTGGATTAAAAACCACTATAGCTTTACAGCAATAACTAAACTTGTTTTCCATTCTACGCTATCCATAGGAACAATAGCCAATCTTTTTTGCCAAATTCTCAGCATGATGCGCACGAATTTTTACACTTTATGCTCAAATATCTGGAAGATGGATGCAAATTAACTGCCAATGAAACGCTACAAAGCAATTTTGCTAGCATATTTAAAGGAACTCTACTCTTTAAAACACGATGCTTAGAATGCGAAAATGCACATGAGAAAAAAGAAAGTTTCCATGATATCAGCCTTTCTCTAGATAGTACTACAACTATCGATACAGGTACGAGAGCAGTCGTAATATATTGGTATGTGTAGTGACTTCTATGACTAATGATACAATAATGCAACTCTCTTAATGTGATTTTAGTGAAATTATCGTCATTACTAGAAAAATTCACTACCGTAGATTATTTGGACGGGGTAAACAAATACTACTGCGAACATTGCCGGAATTACACGGAGGCTGAAATAGGCATAGTATTTGATGAAATTCCAAAAGTGTTGATCTTTCATCTCAAGCGTTTAACCTCATTTGATGCTTATGGATATAATAGGAAGATCATGACTTCGGTTGTTACATGTACTGAATTAGTACTAGATCAGTGTGCGCTATGTTCAAATGGATGTAAAGCAAGAAATGAAACATATCAACTATCCGCGATTATCGTTCATACTGGCATGTCTGGATCTAGTGGACATTATTATTCTTATGTGCGAGTGTTAAATCCTGACCAGCAGCAGCGGCAAGAAACGTCTTCTTCTACTACAATTGATTCAAATGGGAATCTAGGCATGCCTAATGCAAGTTCCTCAAGTAGTGCATCATCTCCACCAATCAATTTATCAGATTCTAAAGTAACTAGTCGATCGGTGAACATGCTGGCTCCTATGTGGATCTTATTCAATGACACCGTTGTCAAATGGGTCAACAGTGAGCAACTGTTAAATATATTAGAACCTAAAGGTCTAAGCAACTCATCGACTGCGTACATTCTAATCTATACGCAAATTTAGAAATTGTAGCAAATGCGATTGTTGTATTGACGATTTAATGTAAGTCCATATATAAACTATATGTAATATGAACATACTTTGCTCAAAGATCCTTTCACCTAGATTGGGCGTGTACTGTATATCGTATAGATGGTCATGTACTAAAATCAAGCCTGATCTGATAATATAATTAAAAATATTGAATGACAATTTCGTTTAATAATGAAACAATGTTTGATATTCACAGGAGTTTTGCCCACTAAATGTGGATAAATTAATTATATAACTATCACTGTTAGTAGGTGGTGTAATACCGTCTTGGAAAAGCGAACCTAAGCTGTACTTGATAATTAAAGATTCTATCGCATGTTCTCTTCAGTGTCGTTGAGTTAACCAAAGCTGTAGTTGATATAAATATTCTATTACATACTCATGTCCTCAACCAGCCTTACTGGGCTAAGTGTAAATACTTTGACAGTTTTTTTTTTATTCAGAAATACAAATTAATTTATACATTGTAATTTTATTAACACTTTCATTAAAATAGCATTATGTTAATAATGGTCGTAAGATTGTAGTGTACAGTAACTGAAATAATTCCCGTAGTTTAATACATTCAGTCTATCAAAATGATGGCTATCCTTTCAGAAAATCTAAAACTGCAATATTCCCTAAGTAGATTTGAAGAATTTTTCTTTATTGTAGCTAGCTGAGGATGCTTTCAGGATAAAATTTCCTAACAAACGAAAGTACAACTTTGTGCAATATCTTGTTATATCAATGAAATACGATTAATTCATCGTTCGGGACTAAATTATAAATTTTCATATAGATCAAATGATATTGGTTTGCAATCTAAAGTTCGTGTATTCACTAGAACACAAGAATGCTTTTGATTAAATGATGGAACGTTAACCAACAAAACTTCTTGTTCTTGGTCGCCTGTTTCATTAGAATTGTATACATAAAACTTTAATTTATGACTAAGATCGTTTACAAAAAGGAATGCTTAAATACGAGTGCACTAAAGTCTAAAGACTAGACTTACCAGTGATCTTTTTGCATGAAAATTCTGGCTGATTTCCAACGAAATAGACATGCGGGCAAGACTCTAATATAAAAGGATCCTTCTCATAATATGGGTAACAAGCTACAGTGGCAGACACGTCAGAATTACAATTTATTAATATATGGCAGTGCAATATTATAGAGATTATTAACGTAATAATTGTTTGCTGTTGCAAATAAAATCTTTGCAGGAATGTATTCCTACATTACGATTTTATAAACAGTGGCAGATAATGAAAATTAAATATCACGGTTGATATTACGTACCTAAAGTATCTGGAGCAGTTGGCGATATATGACCCCACCTTAAGCACTGTTCGCATATTTCAAGACGATCTTCGAAATATGAATAACGATAAATATCGTCGATATTTTGACCAGAAGTTCCCAGAAACCTACATCATATTATAAAATATTAGCATGAGTATGATAGCGTTACTTGATGCTTATAGCCACTACAATTCAAAACAAGTTGCTCATTCATCGTACCTCACTCCATCAACAGAAAATTCATAAGGGTTTGTAACACTTTTTAGCGAAGAAAATTGAAAACCTTTTGGAAACATACATGGATGTAACGGTTGCTGTGGCATTATGTGATTTGAAGGATCAAATTCCCCTGGCATTATGTCCACAGGAATGCATGACTAAAAAATTTAAAATAAAACTCTCCTTTAAGTTAAGATCAGAATCCAGGCTACGCTTATTTGAATTTTTGTATTAGTCTTATTGAATATTCAAGACTTACACATAACTGCGTCAAAATTTCGTCTAAGGCCTTAATCCCTTCTAGAGTGTTAGCTGAGCTACGCGAGGAAAATTTTTTGGAATTCGCCTATGTAACATGTATTTAAGTACAGTACATACATATTATTAAGGTTAGCAAGGAGACGCTATTCATCAACCAGCATTACTTTAGATTATTCAGTTTGAGTAAAGGTACAGTAACGCATGGAATATACAAACCTTATTTGTTTCACTGGTACTACTATTCTGCTGGGCAGCAGAGTTACCAGCTATGACAATTTGCACGATTTGAGAGCACATTTTTCGATCCTAAGAATTTTAGTATAATTGATATGACGTAATGAAGTAGGCTCTTCGATTACATAGTGGAATTTAAGGCAATGAATATACTGTACTGTATAGTAACATTGGCAAAATTCTATACTCTCACTATATACATCAAAATTTACCTCTTGTCCTTCAGTTAGCCGACCAGTAATAAAGTCAATAAACAGTTGCATCGTTAAGAATCCCTGATGACTGCTACCAAGATTTAATCCTGATACGATACATATATATCTGCAAAATAACCAAAATTACTATTACTTTAAGTATTCTAAAACAACAAGTTTATCTTGTTTGCAACACTATGCAATGAAATCTCATTTGATAATTCATTACAATAGTAAGCATACACTGTATATAAATGTATATATGTTACTGTCAGCGTGCGAAATCGGCCATCGTATGCCATAGCCGGTCATGGTATACGATACCCAAGTTCGTAGCCGATGTATATGTACAACGATTGATGACCTACTTATCATTATGGATAAAGGGACGAGGAATTTGTTTTGGTAGGCCAGCAGAGACCATTTCATTCACATAAAATTTGCCTCCATCTAATTCCTTACCTAATAATGCGACAATGACGCCTAAAATGCCAAAATAGTAAAAATCTCATTAGAAAATATACAGCTAATTCTACGTAAACATAGCAGCTATTCAATTGCCCCGGTCGAGTTATGTACATGATCATACAGATACAGGGTATGAATAAATCTTAACCTACCTGTTACCGATTTCGTAACATTAATGTTCCCAGTTAGAGAAATCCGTTGTGTTTCATCTTCAGCAACTAGCTCATCCGAATCGTCAGCGTATTTCGTCCGCGGAGGTAAAGGAATTAAGTTGTACTGCAACAAGTTAGTAACGATAATCTTGCTGAATAGGTAGATTACAATCATTTTTTGTTTAACATGTGTATTCTCAGCGATGAATGATACGATAACATAACGTAACATTATCATCAATTGGAGTATCTCAGCATGCTATTTATACAACACATCTGAAACTAAAAGAATTTCACATGTTACGGTGCTTGTACTAAACGTATATCCCCAGTTCATTCCTAATCGGTGTACTGATTGCATCCTCAGTATACGAGATACACTCGCTGATCAAGCAACTTACCTCGTCGCTAATTTCTTGTAGGATATTCGGCCTAGCACTCATTCTTTTGAATAGTGTACCAATAATGCAACTTGTAATACCCGTTTTTAATTCCATCAACTTGCAGTAATTTATATCATTACCTGAAAGGAATACATTAACCGTTAGTAACACACCACATTGCAGCAGAAGTCTTTCCAAAACGTTGCGCTGCTACTTTTGCAGGATATGCTCTTCTCAAAAGTAAATTAATTAATCAAGCTAATTGGAACTACTTTAACCACTACAGTCGACATCCTGTGCCATAGGCTACGTTAAATGCCATTTAGAGCAAGAATTCAATAGCAGATCGTAAAGGTAAATTACATACTAATAAATAAATACGGCAATACTCGATGCGGATGGACTAATACAGTAAACATGTAAACAATTTCCGTATTTATTCTCAATCACTTCATTCAAAAACAGCAAAGAAAAACGAAAAACAAGCCTTACCCCAAGCCCGTTTTGCAGCTTGTAATAAAGAATCACGCATAGCTACTAGGCGAGATGTATAAATATTGCAGTATTGAGTAGTAAAGTTACGATTTTGCTCGGAAAAGTAAAATCGCTGAGATAAATTGTCAACGCTAGCTGACAACCTGTTTGGCTTTCCTTCGCCTTGGCCATTTTCCACCATGATTGCAATTTTTCGCGGGTATGCCCAGCTCGGATTTGAGTGTGCGCACTTAAGTTTTATGTAGTGTACAGTACTTGTTACTAGAATTGATTATGGTCTCAGAACAGAGTAGCGATGGTATTGATTCCAATACACTAATAAAATTACTTAGTTTATACTAGCCTATTGGCTACTGTACGAGCTGCACTAGTCTACTCTGCCTTGAATTAGCTATTGATCTACTCTATCCATTTCATTTGCTACCTGTAAGGTCTTATTTACAAAGAGCAATAGACATTTTGTTCCCTTTTTCGGATATATCTAGAGAAATTTCTAGCTCTATCTTGAAAGGTTACGCTGCGAGTATATTGTAGTCCTATCTCACGATGCTATGGAGCACAGTATATTAATATGATTGATATTTTTTACAGATCTGAAGCTTAATCTTCGAGTATGCAGCAGCTATTTGCTCTTAGCTGCTAAGCATGTGAGGAGGATTTCTTATAGTAATTGATGACAGTACCTACAACAGCTACTAGTACAATAGTCTGACGAATAATTTGCATCAGGTATCTTAGAAATTACTACAACTTTGCGTCGCAATGTAGTATACCTGAGGTAAGTGATATAGTTAGATGCATGCTACACGAATAAAACGTGGTAGAAGTTTTTGGCTGCATTTAATACTGTCATTATAATTAATCTTTCTGAAGAAAGATACAGTGAGTCAATTTCACAATCATCTTAGGCGAGAACTGAGAGTTTTATTGATAGTTAGGGCTTTCCTTTAATTACCTTGACGAAAGCGAATGAAAAATATTATAGACAATACCCTCAGAATAAAAATGTTTACGTGATGGAATTCCCATTTTCTTATATTTGTAATATTCATTTGTTGTCATATTACGAAATATTAAATAAATGTGAAAGATAGTAAATCCTCCTAGTGCAAAAATGAGCATAAAAAGAGTAGTTAGTAATAGTGCTATTAAAGGATACTCCATAAAGAGATGTTGACAAACGACTGATAACGTCATAGATTTCAATTCTCCAGAAATTGGATCGACATAGGCAGCTAGAAATATCTTTTGCTTATCCACAATACAACAGAATATTCGAAAAATAATAATCGTACCATAAATACATATAGTTAGTAATGATATCAACAATCCAATAAAATATGCGATATTCCTTCGCCCAATGCAATTATTGACCCATACGCAATGATGATCAAATCTTGCCACGCAATGGTTACAATAGGCTATAATCAATCAAAATATTTACAAGGTTAATGGCGTACTTAGTTTGCGTTACAGTTGTAAATATTCGTCTGACGACGATTAAGTAATCTACATAAATCTAGTCATAGTCTATCAATACAGGTAACTTACTGCAATGCTTGGATCTTGCAGGTTTAATAAAATCGCATGATGTACAACGATTTTTGGAATAAAGTTGCTCATCATAACGATACATTTTCGTGTATCGATCATGATTGCGCTTATTTATAACGCCTGGATCGATATAGGAAAGAAGGGTAAAGAATAATAGATTGGTCAATATCATAGAAGCAGTAACAGTCTTGTGATGTTCAGCCACATCGTCGCAAGGCAAATGTGGACAAATTTGAAAAATAAAAATCCAATATCCCACTGCAACCAGTGTAATATAAGTGAATTGATAAAATCGATTCCTAAGAGAAAGAAAATCAAGGCGGTCAATGTGCTAGACATCGTAAAAGCATATAAAGCATATTATCAGTAAGTTGATTAAAAGATCATTTTAAAACTACTGGTTATCATTGAGCTCATGCTAGTACTGCATATAACTGCAGTAAGCATTACGTCTAGATTTACTCAAGAATCTTAGTGATGATACTGTACGAGTATATACCGGTGCAAAGTAGCGTTACGATATTGCAATCTAGTATCAACTAACATTACCTTTTCAGCACGAAATTAGTATAGAGTGCACTTATAGCCGTCTGTAGTGAGAGCGGTAAAAAGCTAATAGTCTTCTTGATTACGTAAGCAAGGCCCTGAAAAATAATAATTCTGATTAACTATATAATCAGGCTATTTAAATAAATATGTGAATATTACAAAAATGTCATTTATTCAGTACTATAAAGACTCGAATCATAAACGTCGATCTGTACAGTATATTTGAACGGGACCGGATGCGAAATCGGTCCCGTTCATATTGATCGTAAGTTATGATAATCATGATATACTGTACACAATACGGGCATCAATGAAAGGAAGCGTGAACATAACTAGGATAAATGCATCCTTGCTTGATCTAAGTGATACTCGCACATAACGTGATTTTTTACCCTTTCTAATCTTTCCTCTAAGCGTTGACTGGTCGTTCTTCCACAGCCACACGAGTAGATTATCGTAATTGTAGTAAGAATGGTGAAATATCCAGCTACTAATGTCAGAAAATCCATAATTTTACAGACTCGTTGGAGAAGTGGGACTTGCACAGCTAAAACAGTCCATTAATCCAGAAAGTAAATGTGGAATCTGCCAACAATTAGATCAAATCTTGACCAACATTGCTCGTTTAATCATCATCCTACATTGCTAAAAGTACAACAGACTATGTCTATCAGGTTGCACCAGAGGGCAAAGATCTGCAATTCAGAAACTGTAAACAAGTCAAAATTTGTTTCCACGGCAGCGTTTGCTACAGTACTCAGCACGATACGATACAGTGGACAGTACTGTACTGTACAGTTCATCTGTACTGTACCGTAAGAGCAGGATGCGGCTTTAATTAGTTTCTCACTGGTACAGAGTGGTGAACAGGTCGATAGAGCTGGTCAAATACTGTATTAGGCGCACGCTTATCCAACGCTGTACAGTCACTTACTCGATCGAGGAGGAATAATTATACTGTACTTTCAATTTCTAGGAATTGTTGAGCAACTACTCTAGCTATAATATATAAAACTACTGTATCTAGTAAACTCTGAATATTAGAAGAAACGATGGAGATCCACTCTACCTCTATAGTACTCGTATTTCCAATTGCTATTATCGTTCGTCAATGAATGAATACCTGTGTTAACATAAAGTGTTGATGAGGGAGTAGGATCATAAATTTATTTATAGCATGCTGTGATCTACGGTATTGAAAACAAAGTAGGGCAGGGGGACAATTTTTAATCGAGTAGCCCATGCCTATAAGATAGGATTGAATAATTAGTAGAAAAGAACTAAAATAAATCCTGTCGTTCCCGGTAGTTATATACTGAAATGTTAAGTAATGTAGTTATTCCTTTAAAATTGTAATTATTGGTTAATTTCCCGCTAAAATAGCCCTATATAATGATGAATGCCTACTCATCATATTTTTCAATGATTAATTTCATAGTAGTTATCAGTAATGTAAATTTATTTTACGAATAAATACTGTAATGCTTGAAGCCACGGAAATTGCAGTTAGCGATATTATAATCAAGTTCACGCGTATCATTATAATATAATTCTCATAATAAGTGAAACTAAGTAAATTGACAAGATCCGTTGCCATAGAAATTTCAGCTCATATGCGGGTATAGACTTTGCAATGTAAAACATACGTTTTATGATATAAGCCGTCATCTATCCAAAAAATTCTGCTAAATGAGCCTTACATAGTCATATTTACAATATATACAGTAGATATACGCGTATGTATGTATCTAACGTAATTTTAAGAGACAATATTTATTTTCTTTCCACCCTCTTATTGTGTCATATATTAATATATAATTGATATTGGTTATTGCACTCTAAAATCAAACTTATAGTCAGCCCTAAATTATTTAGTAGCAAATATCGTATAAAACAAGATTCTAATTTTAGAGATTAAACAACGCTGGCAAGATTGTTTATAGTACAAATATAGAATATACTGTAGACTTTTATTATAATTTTGTAAAATAGACTTACGAATTACTATCTTAGGTCGTGACGCGAAGTTTAAAACATTAGTATCATGCTATATAATAGCATAATGTACATTAATGTGAATTACCAGGGTTTAAAGATATTATCTTACTACTAATAAAGAGTCTAAGGTTTGACTTAGGCTAGAAAATAGCTAAGATTTGAGAGTTACGCTATTTATATTACTAGCATAATAGCTTAGAGTATTAAATCTAATTTACAATAGCGTAAAATAATCTTGCAAAATAAATTATAAAAGCCTAAGTTTCTGGTTATTTTTTGATATTTATTAAAGATATTAACTTAATTACAGCATACTAAATTATGCTAGTATTATACTAATTACTTATCGTCATCTTTACATAATGGATTTTTATGAATCTTATTTTAGCATTAAAATCTTTTGTAATTTACTAATCGATGAAGTATAAAATAAGCAAAAGAGATATCACAAACTAATATTGGATCCCAAGGTTATAACTTTTTAGTTTACTTCGACGATCACACAAATTAATTATTATAAAGATGAAATTTTTATTATGTGACTGAATAGATAAATCATGTTCACATCTATAAGGCTTTCAAACAGTCGATAATTTCAATACTCCAGATGAAATTAAATTATATGAAATTTTATTTAGAAGAGGTAATGCCAGAATCGATTTTTCCTGATACCTTGTTCAAATGATTTCTTTTAATGACCACTCAATATATGCACAGGTGAACAAATTATAATCCAGACAGCGCAAGGTTATTTTCCACATCATAAAAGTTTATATAGTAATGGATACTTGATTATACACAAGACAACATTTTAAATAAGTGTTTGCTAGATATCGATGGAATTAAACTTGAAAGATATTACAATAGAGATAATTCAAAGTAGTATTCGAATGATAAGTAATTATTTGTTGATTGAGAGGTGCAAATTTTGAATGCAATACTTTTCTCGCTGATATTGCATATAATTAATTCTCAATCAATCGTAGACATGCAGTATTGAACATATATTTACATTATGCAAAATCGCTTAAACGAAAAATTCACATGTATTGTGCTTGATATCGAATCGATAAGACATAAAATTATTGGAAATGCCATTTACGACCTACATATGATGAAAATCTGTACGATTACATGTAATTGGCAATAATAGCATCTTAATGTAGGTATAGAAAAGTTTAATAAGAAGTAATACTACATTGACATCGTGTACTTAGCCCCTTGACGATGTAATGTAAGCGTACAAATTATTCTCTTGTGTTCTATTAAACAATTAGGTTCGCATTTGTTCTATAGCTGCCATATGCAATACCATATCCCTGCATATCATTTGATATTTAAGGTAAGGAGCAGAATAACATTTTCTTCGTAGCGATATCAAACAGTAGTGTATAATTATATAATTACATATATATTTGAACTGCATTAAAGACTTACTTATTTCGTAATTAAATGTATTATCCTATACAGTAGAGTGTAGCATTAGAGGCGCAAATAATGACGCTATTAATTGCTTAGCAATCTTATATTGAGTCCAATTAAACGAAATTCTTATACGCTGATAATACTACTTTCAAGTCCAAGATAACTCTTACTATAATTAAGTTTAAATAAAAGATTCAGCGAGGAGTAGTTGCTGTCATATTTAGAGTAGTATTGGCTTGCGTTGTAGCATTTGTAGTTATACTAGAACCTGCACCATTGTCGTAGCCCATAGTTCTTAAATCCATCATATTCACATTGAAGATAACTTTAATTGAGCCTTGAGATCGTACGCGAGTTACTTTAAAGGCAATATCATGTATATTAAATGACTGTATGGGAAGGGATTTATTGCAGTTAATTTTAATACTTTTAATATAGTGTGTACCTTCTCTTCCTTCACTTTGAGCTACTATTGTCGGATCTACGTAATCTGGTCTTCGACCTAGGAGCCAGCTAATTGTACAATAGCCATATAAATGATTTTTGTTGGCTTTTAAGCGTGTTTTACAACTAATTGTGGGCATACCTAGTCAATTTCTGTAATTGCGATGAAGATTCTGGGACAAACATTGGCACTTCACGAACATGACTATCAAATAATAGGCACTACCGTTATGGATGACTAAAAGTATAAACCGAAAGGGAGATGATATCGTAAATTTATAAGGCTACTTCACCTTCCCGGAGATATTGGAATGTGAATTGCTCCATTTCCACGGACCACATCATTACCAAAAACATCCTGACCATAAACGCTCAACACCAACTGAGGCCCTTAGCGTTATAAAGGAATACATTTACAAACCGGATAAAATACAACACTTTGAAAAGAGATATCGATTCGGTAAAGTACTATACTTACATCCAAATGGATTAGTGCTTTTGAACGTTATATTTAAGGGGAAATTCCATATGAATAGTTGCTTGCCATCGAAACTCTTACGTGTGGTTTGTGTTATTCCTTCTTCTAGTCCCTAGTCCATCATACAGTATAATAAACAAATGCGAATAACTCTTCAAAAGATTATATCTCTACCGCAACTATTTGAAGTAATAATACGACAAATCGCGAAATAGTAGTCTAATTAAACTTTATCACGCTTACATAAATATATTAAATATAATCTAGAATAGAAGTTTACAACATTTGATCGGACTTGTGTTCACTAAGTTACACTTACAGTGCAAGTTACCAATTTTACGTGTACTTCTAGTGGTATGTATAAAGATGACACTTAAAAAACTGTAGTCTTTTCGTACAACTAGGAGACTATGAAGTACTATGGCGAAGCTTACCGCTGTTACAACCCAGTCTTGGCCATAAACAAAAGTATATTTAGCGAATAGGTCATTGAATTCTGGAAACTGAATTAAAAGGTATACATGTAATTAATATCAAATTGGCTTTTATTGGGTCATATATCTATTTGACATACGAATCTTTATGAAGTTACAACCATTAGCAGTTATAGAGCGTTAATACCAAAGTTAATGATATTTCTATAAGTTAAAGTATGCCCTTCTTTCATATCAACTATCATTTATAATCCTCTAAATGAACATTAGGTAAAAAAGAGAGGGAAATTTTATCAGTTTCTGATATTTTACTTATTCCGTAATAATGTTATTTCGGTGCGAAAGTTAACCGATAGCATAAAAAGAATTAATTATCACATTGGCGCAGTAGTCAATTGATAAGAATGATTCTAAATTGGTATTGGTACGAAATCAAAACTAATCAATCTGCTGTTCAACTTCACTATTCCATCTTACGTAAGCAGTCTCAATTTGGCCGGTGACAAACAGATAAAATACTGGAGAATTCATCGGTGCCGCCATTGCTGCTGATGATTGGAGTTGGAATTTCTATGGAAACATTCAATTTTAAACTGCACTGACCATGCGCATTTGGTAATTCTGAACGTTGTGCTCCAGTACCATTTTACTTACAGAGTTACAGTATATTGATTGATTGATGTGTTTCGTTGGTCCATTCGTCTGTCGATCCGCGCCACGATGATTAGGGTGGAGTTGATCTCCACCCTAATTTTCCCTCAATTACGGTCCCGTATGAATGACAATAGCCCGCACCCGGATCCCGCGATGTGTACAGTACAGTGCATCCGGGTGATCGGGGCGCACTGTCAATCACAGTACAGTACTGTACTGTACAGTACTGTACAATCTGATTATTTTCGATGTCTCCTCTTCGTTCAAAAATCAAAATTGTACAGTATTCCGTTGAAATTCCTGTATAGTATTTATATATACCCATAGAAGGATACCTCCGAAGAGAGATTATCATGATAACATGAACGTACAGCATCTGAGTAATTGAGTAATCGGGGTTATCATGGCTGGGCTTAACGTACAGTACTGTACTGTACACAGTGCATCCGGCCAATCACAGTACAGTACAGTACAGTACTCTACAATCTGATTATTTTCGATGTCTCCTCTTCGTTCAAAAATCAAAGTTGTGCAGTAATCCGTTGAAATTCCAGTATAGTATTTATATACTGTATACATACCCATAGAAGGATATCTCCGAAGATAGACTATCATGATAACATGAACGTACAGCATCTGAGTAATTGAGTAATCGGGGTTATTATGGCTGGGCCTAACGTACAGTACAGGACTGTACAAGTGTACACTGTACATTACATCCGGGTGATTCGGGAGCACTGTCAATCACCGTACTGTAGTGTACAGTACACTCACTGTACAGTTCACCGTACAGTGATTGACAGCGCTGCCGCTCGCAGCACCGTGCTACACTGTACCTGCTGAGCCTGCGCCAATTTCTTTTTTCTGTTTATAGATAAACAGTCACTGCACTGGAGCATGTTCGCCATGGCCAACGTGTTGAATTGTCAACATCACAATTTTGCCATTTTTACCATGATGAAAGCCAAATCTGTTGCTGTAGAACTGCACACTAGTGTACATGGTTACACGGTTATGTCTAACTGCAAAGCTACCATATGGTAAATAGTGGTTGCAGTCTGTACAGCTCAAAATTAAACGATAATTCAATAAAATCAATATTATTGAATTAAATTCAATCAATCAATAAATTCAATTATGAGCATTGAAATGTTGAATGATGATTTTTATTTTATCTGACAGTACAATTGTAGTTGGTATCATCGTCCTTGGTACCATTGATACTCGTCCAATAGCGTCCTATAAAGTAATTGCATAAATAGACTGCCAGCCTGCAATGGATAGTATCGCAGTCCAATATTGTGTCATGTTTTATCGCGACAAAGCACGCATATGTCGACGACACTATACCGTACGCAGGTCCAATGTGGAATTTTCTATTTACCAAAGTACAGAATAGCCATGAAAGCCTGCCGACTACACCCCTGGTAGTACCAGCCAGTGAGCACTAGAGGTGGAGACCTAAGAGAGTTTCCAGTGAGCATTGAGCAATCCTGACAAAATGAATTTTCTTGTTGAATATTCCCTGTGACATTTCTAATTAATTCGTTCATTCATTCTATTCTACAACATATACCAACAATGTATATTGTCTCTGTAGAATATAGAAATATACCGCATGCAAACAAATGCATTGGTGTGTATACACTCCCTGTAGAATCGTAGTGACAATCCAAGCTAGCACTTGTTACTTGATGGCGATCGTACAGTCGAAATGAGTGGTGGTGAAATCCACTAGTCGTTGAGTATGATGCGTATGGTACGTCACAGTAGCGTAGACCTCAATGCTTTACGTCATATACAATGTTATTGATTTGGAATTATAGCTATTGTTGGTGCTATTGTTTTTCATACAAATGATGTTGACATGGGGTGACTGTTCTCTATTCAGGACTGTATCATAGTCATTGATGGCGCGTTGCTGTTGTCATACGTAAAGGTTGACCACAACACAAGGTTGACCTGCAGCCAGTACAAAACGACGCTTCTACCGACGTTAGGGCGTCATTTGACTTTGCTTCACTCGTGCCAACGAAGGAATTAGTATTCAATCGCAGACTGTGGTCCCACCGAGTCCGTGGATGGTCTTAACGCTGGGCGGATTATCCAAAACAAATTAGCTGAACTTATCCGGAAGAAGTGTTTGGAAAATTGATTTGGATTGCAAGTTAAATGATCCTTGTTATTAGCTAGAAAAGGCGGAAATTGACTTTTTCGGTAGTCAAGAAATCCAAGAAGAATCACACCCAAAAAAACCACTCTATCCACTTGAGATTGCAGTTGAATTCATCCAGTGAGTAAAGGAACGGAAGTAACGAATGTCCTTTGCCTTCAAGATTAACCCAATACCATTCAAGACATCCTGAACAACTGTGATTTGGATTGGAAAGAAGACAAAGCAATTATCTAGATAGCAAAGGGAAAGGAACTAGATACTGTAGAGGTGGAGGAGGAGGAAGAAATTACACGGCTACAGCACACACCATTCTACATCATCAATTGTTGTATTGTACGATAGGATGAGTAACAAGGCAGTCAACAATTCCCCTACAGATAATCCCAAGAATAAATCATCATCATCATCATCATCTTGTACACTTAAAGCCAAGAATGATAAAAGTGACATTAATTATGCAAATTTAAAACTAACCACCAACGGAACCAAGCTAAAAAATCCTGGCCACAATTATCGAACTTTGAATCGATTAATTGAAAAAAACGGTGCTATCAATGTCAAGCGACAAGTACCCAATCGCTGGTCTTGGTATGGCCGCGATTTATTTACTACTATTATGAATGCTCCTATAAGAACCAATGTTATCGTATTTTTTGTTGCTTATGTTATCAGTTGGTGGATCTTTGGCTTTTTATGGTGGATTATGGGCTATTTACGTGGCGATTTTTTACCTCAACATCAACTCTGGCATCACATAGGAAATTATACACCGTGTGTACAAAATTGCGATGGATTTTGGGAATCATTATTATTTTCAATTGAAACGCAAACAACAATTGGTTATGGTGTACGAGCTGTCACACAAAAATGTCCGGAAGGGATATTTCTACTACAATTGCAGACCATTCTTGGATACTTGATTGATTCTTTCGCACTTGGCATTTTTTTCGCCAAGTTATCTCAAGCGAAATATCGAACGAAAACATTGACCGCTAGTAAACGAGCTGTTGTTTCTTTGCGTAATGATGTCCTCAATTTAATGATTCGTATCGGCGATCTGCGAAGAAATCCGATCTGTGAAGTTCAGATTTATGGACTGTTATATAAAGATACTATTACTAAAGAAGGTGAAATTCTCATGAATGAACCCTTTTTAATTGAATTTGAACCTAGCTACATTCATTTATTAACTCCGTTAGTCGTATGCCATCCTATTGATGGGCAAAGTCCATTACATGACATGACCGCCGATGATTTATTTGCAAAAAATGCCGAACTGGTTGTCATTATTGAAGGCATTGTTGAAAGCACAGGACAGACAACGCAATATCGAACTTCCTATAAACCTCATGAAATTATTTTTGGTTCTTATTTTCAAAATATTGCTTCAAGAGATCGTTATGGTCGATTAAATATTGACTACTCTCGATTTGATCAAATTGAACGCCTTGATAGTGCTGGCCCGTATCAGTTATAAAACAAAAATTCTCATCTCCCCGGTAAAATGTCAACAGCCAACGTATTACAACATCTGCTTGCTTGTTGTAATACTCCTTATTATGTAGATACATATAGTATATCATTAAATAATTCAATTTAAAGCAAGATAGAAGAGTGTACTAAGAACAAGCTTTACTCTCCTTGACCGTGATGACTTTTAAATATGCAGTTGTTTCAGCTCGTTCAATCCGATCATTGGCTGTAAATTATAGTTATGCATATAGTAGATCGTTACAAGTTCAGGAAAGAAGATAAAGTCCATGTATCTTTCTATCTCGACATCATCTCTTGTGGAGCCTCTGATCTAATTACGTTAAATCTTGATCTGATTTTTGCATTAATTATATTTCTTGCATAATTTCATTCACATGTGCAGGCAATGTCAATGTTTACCCAGTATGAGTTCGGTGATTCTTTCAGTGGGTACACTATTATGAAGCAAAAGAGATTATTTCAATGAAAGCTCTTGACTGTACGTTGATATTTTAATCCTTTATCATCATGTTATCGTTTGTTCAACGCTTTACGCCATTATATTATATTAAATTATTATTTTGCAAGAATACTCTGTACACTCTTAGCAAATGATTTGTAAATGTTATAAGTGATAATTGAAAGGCAATCGCAACAGCTCAATTTATTAAGTTATTCTTGAAAAATGTTTTGTATCACTATGTTATTGTACTATCAGTTGACTTTTTTGCATTGCCAGCAATTACCGGTTTTTCATGTAAAATTTCTCATTTGTAGCTATCATGCAGCTGATTCATATTGGTATTTTTGACTATTTGTTCCACTTTGGCTATGTTAAATCATTTTCATAAAGAAGAATTTAATTTATACGGAGCAGACAATAATGCGTGTCTAACTATTTTGCAATTAACGTAAACGATGATAGGATAAGTTTGCAATATTTTTCTTTAACTGACGTTAGGATAGAAAATTCCTTTCTGTTATATCACATAATCATTATATATAGGTGAAAATGATCTCAGAAGTAATCATTTTACTTTGAAACACCTAGAATGAATTTGATTAACCTTGTAAGAGGTACACAAAGTTGACTTTAATATATTTTTTGGTAGCGATTGCTTTTACATTACAGGCACCGATTGATAATAATAATGTTGATTTATAAAATGCTATCATAATTTTTGTAATATTGTTTAATCCATCTTAGTCTATAATTTGCGAACTGAGATGTTATTTAGAAATAAAATACTCTCTAAGATTGAATGTGCAACTTGTGCATGGGTATAATGGAGTACAGCTAGAGTTTATAAATGAATGTGGATACTGAATAATTACCGTTGTTATGATCGGCCCAAGTCATATCAGTAGTCTTTTTCCCTTATAAAAAAAGTTCGACACTTTAGCAGCTTATCTGCCTATTAAAATCAAATTTATACTGTAAATAACAATCTGATAATGCTGAACCCATTATTTAAACTTCATCCCTTGTGTTTAAGAATCAAGTTAGCAGGCTTTTATTTACGTTATTATAATAGATTAGAATAGGCCAGATGTTAGAATTTTGTTCGAAAATTGTCATATCGCATATTGTACGGCTACTCGTATTGTTCTATTTACTCCATCACCATAACAAATGATTAATATCTTTTGATGCATTTATCATCTAATACATTTTAGCGAGGCAGAGTACATAAAATACCAAGATATTTACCTAGCAGGCTAATGGCCTGATTAGTAATTTGTACGATTAATTCGAAAGCGCCAAGCGAAAACTTTCCCTATTCTTTTTTTCAATTGCTTAGAATCAATTTTAGAGTATTATTTTCCTAATTAAAATGTTGCTTAATCTTGAACTCTAAGTCTATTGCATAATTTATTATAGCACTAATCGTAGATCACTGCTCCTTTATATTTCATATTCTACTATAAACCAACGTACTCTTATTAGGCCATTCTTTGTGGTTATTTGGCATTTCTTTAATATGAGTTATAATATCGTAGAAAATTTCTTATTGCGTCTCGTAATAGATTATAAAAAAATCAATTTATTTCAGTATCCAAAGCAAATTCTTGACCATTCTTTTGAATGTTACATTTTGCACCATGCTATAAAAATCAGAACGCAAATTTTGCGTAGCAGGATATCCCCCATCATTTTCACTGAATCCGAACAAAAAGGATAAATAAAACACCGGAAGTTTAATCTAGGAGGAAATTGATGATGTAATACACAACGGGCTGAGATGATAATTGTAGCTAAAATATGAGTCTTAATATTGTAGTGTAATTTTTTATTGAATCTCGACATAGACTATAAAAAATCAATTTATTTCAGTATACAAGGAAAATTCTTAACCCTTCTTTTAAATCTTACATTTTGTACCATTCTATAAAAATCAGAACGCAAATTTTGCGTAGCAATATATTCCTCATCATTTTTAGTAAATCCAAATAAAAAGGGTAAGTAAAAAAACGCAAGTTTGATCTAGAAGGAAATTTACGGAGTAATACACAATGAGCTGAGATGATAATTGTAGCGAAAACCACAATAGGGCAAAGGGTGACTTCCTGGGTAAAGATTATACTATCCAAATTAATACCTACTGATTTATTCCAAATACTATGTCTATTTTTGGCTAATAAAACATATGCTCTAATATTTTAAGGATATAATTGGTAGCTTTAAATAATTGATTACGATACTTGAAGTGAAAATGCTGCTTGCAGACAATTGTTAACTATCTCATGACTCTGTTTAACATGATATTGTTCGAATGCACGCTTTGAGAAAATAAATTCTATGCTAGCCTGCTTAAAATTGCATCATTTATGAGCGCAGCTTAATTAACACTACTCAGAATTTTATTAAAATTGACAGGAAACTACCTATCTCACTAATTAGACATGTTGAAAATATTCTTTATTGCGTTATTACTTGGATTCTGCATTCCGTTCCAGAAATTACCATAACGAACTAGGAATTCCAGTAGGCATAGAATACACTTTAATCATGCTAAAAGGCCAAGATGCCTAAACTAGAGTTGTACCCATTGAATGATATTATGGCTACGTTAAATATAATATGACTAATCTTTGATGTATCCATTCTTCTTGTTTCCTCAATACCTTCCTTTAACCCCTTTAAATAGAAAAAAAAACACAAAAGTGTTTCTTAATTTGTTACGGTTCATTAATTTTAGCTCTACAGCCTTGTCATCCAAATCCATTCACAATCATGATTGTACTGCTTTTCATAGCACTGAAAGGTGTAATACAGATAAAAGGAAATTAACCTTTATAATTAGTCCTATTGGGATAACTTACGTAGCTATAAATTGTTGTATAGCGTTGGATGGCATTGAAAGGTTTGTTGTATTTCAGAATACAAACGTAACCTTCAACGTTTTGAATTTTCTGTGAAAGATTAATTCAATACACAGCAATAAAAAATTCTGATGCCTGTATTACAAGATATCAGGAAATAGTCTCAATGTTCCTTTCTTGATATAATTAAATTATACAGAGCAAGACAGTTTCTTGAATGGTGATAAGACTTTTTTTCATACATCAAATTTTATTGGTCAAATTTTAATTTATGGTCCTGTTGTAGTCGAAACTTTCAATGAACAGATAAACAATTTTATGTATCTCTATTATTTGGCTTCTTCCATTGTTCCCTATTACCACCTTCAAGCTAATTACTTTCACAGTCTGTCTATGCTTGTGCTTTTGCACTCAATCAGTTAGATTGATTTGCTAATTTATTATTCATCATTCAATTCATATAGTTCATTCTTGTATTTATTAACATTTTAATCATTCCTTTACTTTAGTATTTTAATCACTAAAGTATATTGCTTATTAATGTACAGGCAAGTAAAAAAAGACTGTATTAGGGTATAATACTGATTAATCTTATAAAATATGGCTATCTTCCCTTCCTGTACGCCTAGGATGTTGTTCATTACGCAGTACTCAGTGATCATATACTGCATGTAGAATTGTTAAAATTTGTAAAATCCGGCTATTTAAGAAAATTATCTAGGGAAATAGCAAATCTAACTCTTATATAAGTATAATTAATTATTCGTAATATTATATTACAGTATACTATATTTAACGATACTACTGTCAATCATCAAATCATATTAATGCAATAGTATGCGTGTCACGCTGTTAAAATATATACCGTTAAATTTCCATGAATTTACTAGCATTATAATGATGTGAAATATCTGTGAATACTTCATTTTACCTTTAACGTAATTCATAATTACATTCTGCTTAATATTGGGATATCGTGTTACTGATACTACTACCAGTCATCAAATATCGCATTAATGCAATAGTACGCGTGTCACGTTGTTAAAGCATATGCCGTTCAATTTCCACCAATTTACTAGCCATTATAATGACGTGAAATATCGGAAAATATTCCATTCTACCTGTAACATCATGTACAATCACATTCTGTTTAGTACTATGATACCGTATTAACTGTCAGTAAATTAATCATTGCGTAGCGTAAGGAACTATGAAAGAAGACTGTCAAGCAAACATTAGGATTGCATGCTACGCATTCCTACGGCACAGCCCGACTAATAAACACTCTATACTTGTATCCCTTAACTCCCTTTCCTGTCTTCAATTTACAAAGCAAGGCTATAACATGACATTACCCGTAGACTAAAGTCCTAACGTTATTTCATCAATCAAACATTGACAAGCATGAAAGAAATTGCATTTTAGTAACGGCTATATTTAGTAATCCATGGTTTCAGTCGTGATCGGTCCACGTATCATTTCAATTTTGGACATCACTCTTAAAGGTACATTCTCATTATGAAGTTGATCAAGGACTCATCGTGATACAACCCGACGGCATCATCGACTCGATTTCGTTACCTGATTAATTTACTCTACTTTTGAGATAGTGTATATATGTCACATATACTTATACATATATCTCTATATATGTATACGTAACAGATGCACTATCTCACAAGTAGAGTAAATTAATCAATCGATCGATTAATTTACTGTGTATATATTATATACGTAACATATACACTATCTCACTAGTAGAGTAAATTAATCAGGCAATGAAATCGATCGAATAATTTACTGTGTATATGTATATACGTAACATATGCCCTATCTCACAAGTAGAGTAAATTAATCAGGTAATGAAATCGATCGATTAATTTACTGTATATATGTTATATATATGTTACGGCCATTCCTAGGAATGATTTTGTCCGGGCAGTTTGCAAAATGACCGATTTCGCATACCGTCCCGTTCATATATACTTAACATATGCACTATCTCACAAGTAGAGTAAATTAATCAGGTAATGAAATCGATCGATCAATTTACTGTGTATATATATATATATATATGTAACATATACACTATCTCACAAGTAGAGTAAATTAATCAGGTAATGAAATCGATTGATTAATTTACTGTGTATATATACTGCATATACTTAACATATACACTATCTCACAATTAGAGTAAATTAATCAATCGATCGATTAATTTACTGTATATATATATATATACTTAATATATACTGTACCTTATCTCACAAGTAGAGTAAATTAATCAATCGATCGATTAATTTACTGTATATATACTTAACATATACACTATCTCATAAGTGGAGTAAATTAATCAGGTAATGAAATCGATCGATCAATTTACTGTATATATGTTATATATACTTAACATATACACTATCTCACTAGTAGAGTAAATTAATCAGGTAATGAAATCGATCGCCTAATTTACTGTATATATATATATACTTAACATATACACTATCTCACAAGTAGAGGAAATTAATCAGGCAATGAAATCGAGTCGTTGATGTTGTTGGTTGGCCATATCATGAGTCCCCGAGTCCTTGATCAACTTCATAATGAGAATGAACCTTTTATGAGTGGCATCATTCCTCCTGGCAATGATACTCGGGATATCATCCAACCTTCACTGTTTTCTATGCCAGCAAATGATGAAAAGTTCCACGGTAACATGGTGACCACTGACAGGGCAACAGCTGAATCGCAAAGGGTGACATGATGTGACATTACTTTCCATCTAGTCGATGACAATACGCCTGGTCGTGGACTGACGGACGAGGGTACGTTGGATACCATTGTCCATGGTACAGTAGGATACAGTACGGAAATGAATATCATCATTTCGTGGCCAGCAACAGCTTTCGTGGGCAGCCTTTTAACCGTAGCTTGTGCGAGCTGTTCTTCAGGAAATACTTTTAATGTTATTTTAGCTGTTGTGCTGGCTAGTCAATCAAGAATCTTGTTGGATTGTTTGAGAAGATTGGAAAGTGTCTCTGTTGCAGAAATTTGCATATGAACTGTAGACTAGCATAGGCTGTATCGACGTCAAGTTTCTTAGCTGTCCTCGCTAAAAACAAATTGGCCATTTTATCACCAATGATTACAATTGCAAGAACAAATTGTTTCATTAATTATTTATCGCTTGATACGATTCACTGAGCATTGGTTATTACCCAAGCGACAACAAATTGGTTCTGGAAGACTGAAAATTCTATCCAAACTGTGTCGACTTAACCGTTAAGGAGGCAATTTTTTCCCAATCTTGACTCAGGTTTGAAAGCATCAACATGATACGAGGTTATGGGCCTATAGCTCAGGCATATTTTGGCACACTCTTCACATGGGGTTTAACCGCTGCTGGTGCGGCATTAGTGTTTGTCTTTTCATCTGGCAAGGTATGTTTAGAGAATACAGTAGAATTCCTGTTCATGAGTGATTGCTTTGAAATTGTTATTGTTTTTATGGACCATGTACAGTATTAGGATAACGATAGCTCAAAGTACAGTGTCTTGACTTCACCATGGGCTTCTACGAGTAGATATACCTCTAGAAGTTTATGACTTAATAGCCCGATCAATCTGATTTGATGAGAATGATTTCATTTAGGCACAGTGATGCCTTTTTAGCACAAATGCTTTGTGTAATATAGAGAATGGAAACCATTTTGACTAATTGGAGGCTTTTTCTCTTCTGTTTTAGAGAAAAGTTCTAGATGGTAGCCTTGGATTTGCTGCCGGAGTAAGTTCAACAACGACTTGAGATGCAAATAACGATATAGACGTGTATGAACCATCCCAAATCTTTTCTTAATATTCCACACGTTCTAACTTGTAACTAGAATGATGCTTCAAAATTATATTTCTCTCATCTTTTATATCGATTCTACTTTCTTCAAATTGTAATGATTAATGTAACATTTTAGCCTTATTTGAATAACAAGCTCGCAGGGAACAACCTGCATTGCAATATCGTATACTATGATGGCTGGTAGCTGTTTCTGTTTGTTAGTTATGCAACAGTTTCTATTGTCCACAATGGATACTGCAGTACCATGAAATTGTTTTTTCTTTGTATCAATCGTCAACCACGTACTATAAAGCAATATTGACTGTTTATTACTTGCCCAGCAATAACCGATAGACTATTTTACTGTTATAACAGGTTATGGTGGCAGCTTCCTTTTGGTCATTATTACAGCCAGCAATAGAATTAGCTACAAAGTCCGGCCACTACGGCCAAGATGGCCAGTTTTCTTTTATACCCGTTGGAATTGGTTTCGCATTCGGTGCTGCTTTTGTTGGTGTCACTGATATGATGATGAGTAGAATGGTAGGGCAGCGATGTTTGAATATTTTGTTTTAAAACTTTAATGAAGCATATCAATTTGTTTTTATTGCCGTTATCATATCGTACTCTACAAATGTTGTCAAAATCGATCATAAGTTTTTTATTATTCTATAAAGAGTTACGTTATAGTAGTACAGTATAGTATCGTCATCACCTTTTAAATGTTCAAATTCATTTAGTCATTCTAACTATTTCGAAATCCTTCTAGAATATTTCTTCACCCCAAATCGCTTTAGCAAATGTGTACTGTAAAAGTATGAACGAAGACACCGAACGATTTGAATTAGGAGCAGAAGATGAAGAAGTCAATAATCGTTATCATCACCAAAGCGATAATAGTAACCTTGTCTATCGTTCACTCAATAATAAAGCAGTTGAGAATAATAAAACTCAACATTCTGAATACCAGAAAAATTCTGAGATGATTAATCTTCAATGGCGTCGTATCATTTTACTAGTCATCGCGATAACAGTCCACAACATTCCAGGTACACCAATTTTCTTCCATTTTGCAAAACTTCTACCGATATACTGTGTATTTTAAGTTGACCTTTCTTCAACTATCAATTACAGATACACAAAACCTGTACAATTAAAATAAAATTGTAGATAAGATGAGTCATCTAGATTTCATGTGCTCTGATCATGAAACGTAAAAGTATGCATGTTGAAGAATGTATTTTACATTCAAATTGTAGAGGGTCTTGCTGTTGGAGTAGGATTTGGTGCAATTGGAAAAACGGAGCAAGCGACTTTTGAAAATGCTAGGTAAAACTATTGTTACAGAAAGATAGTATGTGATTGCAATGAAACAATTAAGTAATAGATTTAGTAGCTGGATTATAAGAGCATAGTAATGATGTTAACACGATATGTTCGAATCTATTTATGTACTGTACACACCAAGTATTATACGTATGTATTTATTAGACACCTTAATTAATAAACTGTACGATGATACAAAATGTTCTTAAATTCGCAACGAATAATTTACTGAAGATTGTTACATACGCTTGATGTCAGCAATGTATTTATCAAAGTTACTGACTATCAAATTGCTCCACGCAATGTTTGAGAGCGCTAGCACCTTGCTATAGTGCTTAGTACATAACAACCATCGAGCAACAATAGATGATTGGATAAATCTTGCAAAGTGATAACTTTGAATTAGGATTGTATTCAATCTTTTAATTTAGAAACCTAGCAATTGGTATTGGCATTCAGAACTTTCCGGAAGGACTGGCTGTAAGCCTACCTCTTAAGGCCATGGGATTCTCAACATGGACAAGTTTCTGGTATGCGGTTTACTCATACGTTCATGACCTTTTGTAGCCTTTTACTTTCCTATTATTAATGTATCAATTTAAAAATAAACGTAGAATTGAATTAATTACCTTACGTCATTATAAGAATATTTGACGATTCAAATTTGTACAGGTATGGACAACTGAGCGGAATGGTAGAACCAATAGCTGGAATATTAGGAGCTGCAGCCGTTATGGTAATTGAAGTTTAGCCTTAAAATTATCTATCGAGACTCATATATAGTATTTTAACGTTATCTTTCAGATAGCTGAACCAATTTTGCCTTATTCATTAGCCTTTGCTGCTGGTGCCATGATTTATGTAGTCATTGATGATATTATCCCGGAAGCGCAAACTAGGTAAATCAATCAAATTCTGCACTCAGTACTCTAAATAATTTACAATAGCCGGTCAGGCTAATTGATTCTGTTATTTAATCTCAATATGTACAGTGGTAATGGTCGTTTATCATCCATTGGTTGTATCGTTGGATTTCTCGTTATGATGTCCCTTGATGTTGGATTGGGTTAAAGTTCTGACTTAGCTTATGGAAGCTTAGGATAGTACGCGCGAATTGTTAATGACATAGAGATTAAAATTTTAGTAGAGTATTATTCTATCATCTCATCATATTACTAACATACCTGAAAGTATTTGAAAAAGCAACAATTTCATCTATCAGTATATCGAATTGTATAAATACAGTTAGAATATCCTTTTGAAACATTGTGGCGATATTCGTATAACGTGTATTTCAGACTGCTGTATCTAAACGAGCATATAACATTCAGCATCGCGTAAATTTATTTCAAGTTGTGTTTTTACTACGGGTATAACAACAAGTTTGTGGTATATTTCTTATTATACTACTTATAAATATACCAGAACGTAGTGCAAAGTAAAATACGTATTAAAACTAGTCTGTAATAGAATATATAATGTGGTAAATCATACGTATAATTATATATAATTATTGTAATAATATGCTATCTATACGTATAATTTTTCTTGCATCATGTATTTGCAGTACGCGAAATCTTGACCTGGGGAATTCAGAATTCTCTCCATGCTCATTACTTGTACTGTACTGTACATATATTACAAAAGGATAAGCTGTAGCTAACGCAGATACCATTATTGTTTTACCATTTCATTATCGGAATTAACGACGGACTGCTACTTCCGATTGTATTATATAATAGCTATTCCCGATCATTTACGTGCATTCGAAAATAAAAAGTGCAGCCATAGGGAAATCCAACATTTAGTTGCTCTGGATATATAGCATTACGACAAAAAGAATAACAAGTTCGGATATGTAATTATTTATACAGTAGCACCTCTTATTCGTATAAGAAATTAGCCATTAAAGAGATACAAGGAACTAAATATGAACTTTAGCCGCAACCTTTAGGCAAATTTCCAATAAATGTGAATATTAAAAAAATGTTTTTTTATTTAAATGTACTCCAAATGAGCATTTTTCAATCCATGGTAGAAAAAAATTGAACAGACTCTATAATCATTTTAGGTATTTCGACACCAACAAAGTTTATCTATCCAATGCAAAATGGGCAGATGTTTGTACTACCGACCAGAGAAGAAACATCCTTTCCCAAATCATTCAAAAATTCTTTTACAGCATGAAAAATCTTTAATAAGCAAAGATCGTACGTGCAACATTTGTATAGGATCGTTGGAGCAAGTATCATAATTACTTTCTTGTGAGAACTATAACTTTTTATTACGGGAACGATTAAATAAGTAACGTTACGCGATCTGAGGGAAAAGTTTTTTCAATTGGCAAACTGTATCTTCTGGCGATGTAACGGTATGACCAATTGTGCGTTCGCTATTAAAAATTTCGTGATCGTTCCCACCCTGATCGTTGCGAAAATATGTTATCTTAGTATTAAAAGCATCGATTGAATGATACATTATATTCGCTTAAAAAGCAATCAGGCTAAATCGCTAACAACTGTTATATACCGGTTGAGTTTTGTCACCAAAGAAATAAATTTGATCGAATTCATTCGCTGGTATATGACGTAGGCAATAAGTTTTGTCCCATCCGATTGGAAAGACATCAATACTAATTTGCCCACCTATGTCAGTGTCCAGTACAAAAAGTTGTAACAATTTTGATTAGTGGTTATAATATTTTAATTTTCCTAAAGTAAATTGTCCTTGGATTAACATGTGTACCGATCGCAAATTGTAGGCCAACATCAGGAAATTCTTTTCGGAGAGCTTGTAGAAACTTGAGTCGAATATTTTCAGCCTAATAGAAATTGTATCGTCATAGATAAATATAAAATAGGATAGTATGATAGTATATTATGATAGTATGATAATACTCGTATACCATCATAGAGAAAAACTGTATACACGTAGCTAGAAAAGTTCAAACAAAGTTTCTGATGATACCTTGTCCAAAGCGACAAATTCCAATCTTTCGTCGTAGCTACAGCTGCGTCCAATAGGACAAAGATTAATCATGCTAGAGCGGAATTCAACAAAAGTACCTCTAGAATGACAAATCAAGAATTAATGAACTACTGTTATGTGATGTTAAGTTATGTAGTACTACAGTATATGACTCGTATGTATTGACGTAGAGCGATAACGAATATGCGTCTACTCTATTTATTATTGCATGATGGTATTCAACCTTTTCCTAGGCAATTGCAATTCAGACATGTATTTTAAAGCAAAGTTAATGACTTTCTGTAAGTTATCATCTCCGATGCAGCTGACAATATTCTATGCAGGTATTACAAAAAGGATCAGAAGTCAATTTTGAACAATTTATTTACCCACTATTCCTACACTGACTATTGATGAATAGCCAACAATATCATGGTATAGCAAGTTGACTGACCTCAGCGCTTATTAATTCACCCTTCTTATAACCAACAACTCCATTTTCAGCAAAGACATAATCATAAAACTTGGGAACTGGCGAGAAAGGATTGAAATCATATAATAGAATTGATTGTAAACTACCTACTTCATATCCATTGCAATATAAACAGGACCAACTAATGTAATAAGTCTTACAAGTCGTGTTACAAGACTTGTTGACAAATTGGCAGTTGTACTGAAAAGACGTAGGTATATTCAAGTCATCTATAAAACAATTTTCTACTCCTCTACGGAAATGCTCATTCCATTTGAAATAACTGTCTTGGCAAGTAAACCCAAGCGGAACTACTGAAGAGTATACTGTTTATAGTAGATCCCATTTGTACTAGTGTTGTCGCCTGCTGATGATCTTTGAATTAATGTCCTATACTGCATGTATTTGTAAGCTTGGATGACTAGAATACAAACAGCGAGCTATACAAGCATGCCATACGATAGCATGTAAGAGAAATAAGTTTATCTTTTCCTTACTATCCTCTCCACCCAATTGTTCCTTGATTTTGCCATAATCTGATCCACCAACAATGCCAACAGCAACATGTTTCTTAAGGTTTTCTAGGGTGCATTTCATGTTATCCTCAATAAGCTAATATTGGAGAGAGAGTTAGTCAAGAAGGAGTTGATTGATCGATGACGGATAGCAACTAGCCAAGAGAGTGCAAGTACTTGTACTGTTCAAGCCTACAATCTACAATAGTACAGCCTTCAATGGATCATCGCTAACCTTGCGAGCTGGCGTTAATGTGCCATCCACGTCGAATAATACAAGTATTTTGGCAGTCATTTTCACCGATTCTAAATAATCAATTTCCTAAATGTTGATCTCCTTTTTACAACCGATTCTCGTCGACACTTTAACTACCAGTAGTTCTACGCACCAAAATGAAATCTCCGAGTTAGTTGTATCCGGTTTGCTCAATCGCAGTCAACAAAACTCCGTCAGCTGTGGTCCAGTTAAATATACTGTACTGTACATGCAGTATACAGTACAGTACGTGATAAATCCGTCCATCCGACCACACAGTACACAGTACTGTGTAATACTGTACAGTGTACTGTACACTGTTCAGTACCAATCTCGACATCTCGTTCATGAGAAGTCTGTCCATCCGACCATATAGTGCACAGTACACACTATACTGTACAGTGTACAGTATAGCAGTTGTACTGTACACTTTCAAGGTCGACATTTTTAAATTGTTATTTACGTCTCAAAGTTATTCAGCTTTATATTCGTATAATTCTTATTACATTTTGATTCACACTCGTGATTTTAGGGTACCTTAAAGTACTCTGATTCGAACTGGTTCACACTGTACATACTGTACACTACAGTACATACTGTACACTACTGTACCGTACCGTACAGTACGGTTCAGTACCAATCTCGTACATGAGAAGTCCGTCCATCCGACGAAACAGTACAGTACAGTATACAGTACAGTACGGTACCGTACCTGTTGTACTGTACTGTACGGTATTGGTGATAATGTTAGGGTAGTACGGTACTGTACGTACAGTACCGTATAAGGATCACTAGTATCTGCTCACCCGGCGGCAGTTTCAAAATGGCGGATTATTGCTAAACAACTTTGGATAGATTTCAACACAGAAGAGAACGCCATGACTTCACACGATCGTAAAGAAGTCAAAAAGCTAAAGGATAAAGCTGCCAGTAAAACTATTTTCGGCAGTAATCAAGACATTGTTGTGATTGCAGCTGAAGATATGGTAAGCTATGACAGAATCAGCTCACGAAATGCAGCAGTAGCTTTAGAGCAAGAGTATAGTCAACATACTTTAGGCATGGAAACGAAATGAACAGTCAAGTGAATTATGATGATTCTCCAGCATAGACTTCTATATGGGTGAATTAAGAATGATAGTAGAATGCAATCAATTTTGAAGCTGATAGTTACCTATAGTACTTGCTATAGTCATCGGTAAGGAATAAATTAACCTTCCAATCGATACACATCAATTAGAATTATTGAATTAAATTGTTATCATTCAGTATAAGCTTCAAGATCGATAAATAGACACGGTATAAGGATAGAGTGAATTTCGAAAAGGATACAGTTACTCTTTCCTAACAATAATATGGACACTATGATATTGAGAGAGCCTATCAATATCGCCGATTAGAGCAATATATTGTACACGTATAATACATTACTCGGCCTGTAACATACACGTGAACTAATTAACTTGCTAGATACTTCATTAGCTGCTGTGTGCAGTGATCATAGAATTAGATACATACTGTACAGTGACTGATGGAAAAAAAATAGCTATTACGTAAGTTATTATTCTGAAACTTAACAAAAGTCTTAATATAGATAAATACAGTTACTGCGTGACAGTAGATGGTACTGCATTCGGCTGTTTACTAAACTAGCCAGATCCCTCATTAGCTGCTGTGTGCAGTGATCATAGAATTAGATACATACTGTACAGTGACTGATGGAAAAAATAGCTATGACGTAAGTTATTATTCTGAAAGTTAACAAAAGTCTTAATATAGATAAATACAGTTACTGCGTGACAGTAGATGGTACTGCATTCGGCTGTCTACTAAACTAGCCAGATACTTCATTAGCTACAGTACTAAAAGCTTCAACAATTGCAAATTAACAACCAATATAAGAGTAGTATTAATTTCCTGACCAATGGATTGATTGATCTGGTTTCATGATATGTGTTTTCGTATTGTATATCCAATAGTTGAAGAAATGCAACGAAAAACACTACGCCGACGTTTATAGCCTGGATATAAGCAACACTGGAATAACAAGAATTGCAAACTTAGAAAAGGTAAAATCATTCCTCACACCTGCCATGATAGTATCAATAGGTCAACAATGACAATACAAGTAAAAGTATATCAAAGCCAAATCAATGATTTCTATCGTTATTGTTATCTTTACTATGAACTAGTAATACCGTATGCAATGGGGCTATGTCGTTATGCTTGCTATTGGAATCAATGTCAATAGAATCCAATAAATAAAGAATTATAATTAATTAACTTTATTTTCACTCTTCCTTTAACTCCATCATTAAATACAGTTTATAAAGCTTCGAGTCTTGGATTTATCATGTAATAAGATAGAATGGATAGATGGTTTACAACACAATCAGGTATTTTTGTTACTGATTAATATAGCATGTTTGATATACGTATCGTAAAACAAGTATATAACAACCTCTCCACACCAGTGTTCCCATATAAGTTTCTAGGGATTTGACTTTCACCTTTTTCTGTATAGGAATTGCGTGAACTGAAATTATACTCGAACAAAATTTCTGAGTTAAATGGCTTAGAGAAGTAAGTAACCAGTAGCTGTCAACATCAACATTCCCAGAAACGATCAATAATAATTTAACAACGACAGTACATACAAGTGTATGCTACGGCCAGTGTCGATAATACCTTTCTAGTTACCTATTGTATGTACAATTTTATACTGTACAGTGTACAGTATACTTATCTACTTTCTTAATCTAACTAAAAAATGTTCACAATGACAGACTTAAAGGATTAACTAACCTAATTCTTCAGTTTAACAACATTACTGAAATAGGTAAGTAGTATTCAAATTTATCTTAGGTTTTGTATACCATAGATTGTGTAATATTACCAGTAGCATATTTATTGATTAGCTGTTATTAATTTCATTTAGGCAACGGTTTAAAATCGTTAAGGGCACTCAAACTCCTCCGGATAGACAATAATAAAATTAATAAAGTGGAAAAAAACACGTTGACTTGTTGCCCAAATTTAAGTAGCTTAGACATGAGCAACAATTGTATCCATGATTTAACGGTGAGTATCTTTCGGCATTTATGTGATATAATGGGGCTAGTATAGGAGTAATTATAATTTCAAGTCGTTCATTCAGTCATTTCGTGATTCGTTAATCTAAATAAAATACCTCCCGTAAAAGTATCAGCTGGGATCATAATACCATTATTTATGACTGATGCATCTCAATTTTGTGATGATATGACTTATTTCTGTTGATATCTATAGAATATCTGCTGTTTGAAAGCCTTAACGGAACTACGATTAGCAAATAATCAAATAGAGCATCTACCGGATAGTCTTGCTTGCAAATCAGTTAGTACGATACAAGCACCATAATAATGAACATTATCAAAAAATTTATGCGAGTATTTTTCATGCTGTAACTCAGACTGCACCATTTCGCTAGTTATAAGTGAAATTAGATTAATCAAATCTACATAATTTATGCAATTTTTTACTAGCTGTCGGAATTAGATCTATCAGGTAACAGTCTTACCGATGTTGGTAGCTTGAATGGTTTACATGTTTTGAATGTAAGTGTTAACAATCATTTTAAATAAATCTATACAAGCATGTCGTTCCAGAATAGAAATAGAAATACATAAGAAATCCAAAAACTGGACGATTTATTGAGCGACATGCCCAACTAATTTTGAATTTAATTTACTTTGATAGAATCTTAATATCAGCCGAAATAAAATACAGACTTTGGAATCATTAGGGAAAATGGGGTTTGTATTTATTTAATTAAACTGAATTCTGAATACTATCCGGTAAGTATCCTTATCAAGATAAAAACTTGACACTTTCAGGCGACTGCAAGAACTGCGAGCAGCTGACAATCTGATTTCATCAATATCGGTACTTCATATTCAATGATTATCGTCGTAATACAAGTATGAAGTATTAACGTATAAATAGTCTTTAATGGTATCTATTACAACTATTTAAAGAGAATAAATGTTCAATTTCCGGCTCTCGAAATACTTGATATACAACGAAATCAGATATCTTTTATTGAAGATATGGTAAGTTATCTCACGATGCATACTGCTTTTAAATACGTTTTGTGTTCTGCCACTGTATTGTAGTCAGTTGTCAATATGAAACTGCTTGATGATTTATGACAGCTGTCATTGCATTTTTTCAAGAGATATGGGTATCTAGCCTAGAAGTAGTGACAGATCTGAATCATTACTTTACATAATCGTTTGTAGATATAACAACGTTGACTATCACCATTGGATATTCTCTTCTTACCTGAAAATTCTATACACGAGACTATCTTGCAAAAACTTAAAAATGGTTCTTTTCATTATTTAGGAATCACTAAAGTTAATTTCTACCGCAACAGAATATTTACTAATAGGTCAGTAAAATTGTTAGCACAAATCGCTATAATTTATTTGATGCCTATTTTCTCTTCACTGCAATATTTTTGTGCAAATGATGTCCAAAATATTCTCTTTAAAATTGAAATTAAGGAAATCCTGTTGAGTCAACTCCGGAATATAGGGGGTAATCATATGCCTTTTATTGATTTATACTTGTAACAAATAAGAATGTTAGCAGACTATTGAGTAATTTCATCGGCTGTTGCAGCTAAAGTAATGCTTCTCATGTGTTAGATTTTTAGCCAAGATATGGGAACTTGTTCTAAATCTGGAATCCTTGAACAAGGTATCTAGTATAGAAGCTAATCGTTATGCTAGATTTTCGCAAGTATGTTAATGTATAAGATATTTGGACTTTTGTGTTATATTCTAACTCCAAGAAACAAAAGAGATCGAAAAATAATCCGAAACGACCGGGTTCTGCAACTATTATTATGAGAAAAATGTCAGGTTGGCGTTGTATTTCTTGCAGTCCCATATATCTCCATTAATAGCGATATACAGTATTACCGATTCTATTATGTACAACTCAGTACAAGTACTTACTTACTTACTACGGATATATCTCTACGGCTTTTAACGAGCTTATTACAAAGTATTGCAATATAATAATTGAACGAAAATTTCTGCCATATATAGGATTCGAGTCCAAAGAGGTAGAGGAAATAATTAAATTTTCTACAAGGCAATTGCATACATTTGAAACTTCAGTACAAGAAAGGTTTGCTTGCCTATTTATTTTATTAATATCGTTCTATGTGTAATGATAAAATAATGACTTCTTGTTATTTCCTATGGAATTGCAATATATAGATTTAATTCTATCCGGAAATCAATCGATGAGCTACTCCCTGTACAAGCCATGTCTAAACGATGTATGATTAACTTCAAATTTACACTTTAGTATATATTCGCGTACAATGATAAAACGATGTATTATTTATTTTTACATATTGAGATCCTTAGTATCAATTGCACAGCATATTTTTCTATAAGGAGCTGAACTACTACTAATCTTTTGGTAGTGTAGGTTTATAACAAAAAAACAGTAGTAGCAGAGTAGGACATAATAAATTCCTGTTATTTTATACATCGTTGAAGTCAAGTTAATTGCGTTGCTAGTAAAACTAGAAATCTAGATTTGACTGTCATGTATAATCGATTCAGTCATGTTATCAAGAATTATTATTGTATATTCAAAGTATATGTGTACAAATTACACATTAAATCTTTCATTTAAATTCTTGTTTGCTGAATTTTACTATTGCAGCAATATCACCTTCCAAGAGCGCAATGGATGAGCGACCATATTCTGCAGGACAACGGCCATCTAGCCGCAGTGGAAGGTTATATAATAAATATCTATTGTTCTGCCTTAACTTTAGAATTACTCGTACTGCATAAATCTGAAAGTCAACTATCGTGCAAATAAATTGCTATAAGTGTAATAAGCAATATCCAATTATTTTTTGACTTTACAGGCTGTCACGACTTCAGGAAGCTATGGCTTTTGCAACTGAAAATTTTACGGAAGAGCCTGAACAGACCTCATGACAGTAGCGCACTGTAAACCCATATTTACCTAGCAAAAGTGGGATGATGTCTTAATGCTATAACAAAGAATATTTTTTACCAGCTTATTATTTTCATTTCATTATTCTTTATAGTAGGTAAATAATAATATTATTAATGGAATATCATTTCTGTAGTTATAAATACCGTGATCAATTGTGTAAATAGCCCATTATTTTTGAACGATGATCATGGTTGTTGTAATTTAATAGGATATTGCGAGCATGAGAGAAATGCCAAGTTCGATATTTTTTTAACCAAATTGATAACTATTGCATAAAGCAAGGAATTCTGAGCTCGATGACGTAAATCGTGTTCATTACGTATCTGTTATTTTGTAATTTATGTTATAATATAATATATTTTTAGAACCAAAATCTGACGACAGATCGTTCATAAAAAATAAAATATGAATTACTCTTGACGTTACAGTTTAATAATATTTATATAAAATATAGGCCATGCATGACTCTTACTACGATAAAAAGGCGCTATCACCATAACATACAACAATTGAATAGCACAACATGATCTGGCGATAATGACGTTGTAGATGCATTGCACTGTAAGTGGAAAGCATTATTGTTTCAATATGCTTGCATAGCTTGTCAAGGCCGTCAGCGTAATAGAGGCAGTTTCGCTTCTTAAGATGAAAGGACTTATCTTGATGCCAGTAGCACCAAGTTGATTTTCTAAATAGTTGATTTCTTTATCGGAAAATCCTTTCTCAGGTCCGATGCAGACAGTTTTACATTGAGCTAGGGTGGATTGAGGCGTAAATCCAACCTGAGCATTATCCAAGTGCCTAGTATCACCAAAACATATTGGGTGCACATTTGATTGTAATTTTAAATTATGCAAACGATCAGCAAATGTCAACGTTGGTAAATCGAGGCGGCCACATTGCTTTATAGCGCTTATAGCAATCTCAGTTAATTTCTTACAACGTGCAGAGCTAAATTGCGAAATTTCACCAAGTTCACTGGCGTAGAGGTAAAAATGGCTTACTCCTAATTCAGTACATTTCTCGATGACAAGATCTAAGCCTTTACTTCGTATAAGTGGCTGAATTAAATTGATTCTCGGTTTATCCAGTACTAATTGCGTCAAGACTTGATCAATGTTTACGTGAGCAATTTGATTGCCTTGATAAGCATCGATCCTGGCCTGTGCTAATTGATTTCTACCATTTATAATTTCTACCGTTTCTCCGACTCTCAGTCGCATTACATTCTTCATATGATGTAACTGATCGCCTTGTAAGGCAACTCTACCATTTTTGACCAGGTTGGAATTTAAGTAGAAGCGATAGCATGGCATGATTCAATCGAGTAGCTAGGCAAAATTACGCGTATGTTTATGTGAATCTTGTAGAAGTTGTAGGCCACTAGTGTGGAAATTTTCCGTCGCAATAGGATAAATCAGTTGTAGCTTTCAAATTCTTCAATCGTGGTGCTAAAACTATCAATAGCAATAGTGTTAATACCAATGGTATCAGCTAAAATTGGCAGATCAGAAAAGCCTATTTAAGAATTGCTGCATTGCAAAGTATTTCAATCCACCTGCATTAATATCAAAATCTGATTGGAATTAATAATCTTCACTTTCTTTCGGAACGCAAGGCTTTCATGCGATATAACACAACACTGCCAAATACAATTAGCTTTTAAATCAGAATCTAGACGCTAAGGGATATTATCTTTCTCTAGATCTGCTAAGATTTAAAGTTATCATGTTACTACAGTAGATTTTCCTTCAGTGGAATTACGAGCCTCCTCAGGGAAATCATGGCCGCCATCGGCAAGATTGCCAACTACAGTACTGTACTGTTGGTACTCGAAATCAGGCAGTGTACACAGAACATTCGCCTGTACAGTATCGGTTAGTCTCTCTATACAGTCATACAAGTGGTGTATTCGATCTGCTCACATGTAAAAGCTTTTATATAGATCGCACAGTATAGCAAGATACACTGAGTAGTGCTGCTGGTATTCGTAGCAGACTATGGTATGCATATTCACTATGCTATTTTTATAATATATCATAGAATTCGTTTCTACTGCAAAACACTGCTGCACACTATTTCAGGGACTACTAAGATAAGTCCCTGACTATTTTGACTGCCGTAATCGTAAAGTAAATAATAGTTTCTACTTTCTTCCATACTGTATGTAAAAAGAGTCTTATCTAAGATGGTAAAGTGTTAATGGATTATATAACAGTCTTATCTAAGATGGTAAAGTGTTAATGGATTATATAACAGTCTTATCTAAGGTGGTAAAGTGTTAATGGATTATATAACATAGTCTTATCTAAGATGGTAAAGTATTAATAGATTATATAATAATTAGAAATGGATTGTATAACATAGTCTTATCTAAGATGGTAAAGTCTTAATGGATTATATAATAATTAGTAATACCACATGCAAACTTTGGTACGGTAGACTGTACAGCATGCAGTAGTATATTACTGTAATATGGTGTGCTTGGAATCTTGCTAAATTAATGATGTATCCTAACTCAAAGCAATCTTCTCTCTACACCTCATTTTCTTCGCCTAATGCTGTACTCTGGCAGTCTGACTCTGTTATGTAAATCTGATGCACAAAAATGCTGTACAATATATATGACATTATTGCACGCTACACTGCTTACAACTACTACGCAAATTAAGATATCAAGCAAAAGTAATGCAAAGTTGATAACGCGTAACTACCAGAAACAAGAATTCTTACGGTATCGATTAGGAACAAACCTGAAAATATCGGTAGCCTAGAGCCAGCAAATATATTTTTATTTTTTATCTTAAAATTCATGTTTTTGCATAAATTTATACTACGCGTAAAACAAAGTTGTAATAAAGCTTGCAATAATAGTAACGCATGAGCCCTTCTACCTATTTATTCCATGACATTCATGAACACATTGAATGATTTTTTGATACTGCTAGCAAATACTTTACAACGTATGGGGGTAATATTCTTCGGCATAATAGCAACCATCAATAGCTGGTACATTTTCCGTTACAAATTTTCAGATATGCAGTACATGTACATCGTTCTTGAACTATTATAAATATCCACTAATAAATATCATCTAAATTATAATCGTTAATTTAAGGACCTACTATTCGTGAAGGTACAAATTACAGCGGATAATTAATCATATCATTACTGCATACTGTATTATAGTCTGTACAAAAGAACTTTATAAACATATATTAACGATGCAATATTACATTTACTACAAGTCTTTGTACAAAAAATGTTTGATATCAAAGATATTGAAGAAAACTAATTTTAACAATGCACTAGATTACATGCGAGTTAAGCAGACAATGATGCCTTCTTTCGTGATGCCTTCGTTACAAACAGAACGAACGACATAATCTTTTCATACATGGTAAACATCAAAGCTGTAGTTAAGACGGTCTGTAATAGCTTCGCCTCCAAGCCTTTGAATAGACCAGAGAAACCTTCATGCCTAGCGAGGTAAATAAGACAGAGTAAAATTCGATGTGTGACTGTCATGTTAGGTTGATCTTTAAGGATTAATAATCTTAAATATTTCGGTAAACTTACGAATTAATACACAATGAGTTACAAACCTAATTATCTCCTGCATGATAGTAATGAAGGTACGCTTCTTATTGGCCTTTTCAGAAGTATTGTGCTAAGGGTATTTATGGACATATAAACTAATAGTTAATATTAACGACACCTGTCTTTATGCGGCAGTTATTTTATATGAAGTTACCCTTAAACGAGCTTGAGAGACTTGCAGAGGGTAAGTGAGCACAGTTGCAATAGCCTTTGAGATTGCGCCCATTAGGAATACCAACCAAGATGGAATCTACAGTAAAAACACCAGTTGTACATACAAGTTACGACCTATTATGAGCTAAGTGATAAAATAGAATAGTAACCAGCGGCAACCATTTCGACATAAGGCTATTCATGTAAATTAATAGTAGTAATCATAATAATAATAATAGCGCTATTTCATTTGAAGACTCCAGCTTTAAATGATTTTAACGAGTAACCTGCATATTGTTTTTTCCTCGAGTAATGTATCTTTTAAGAGCTTCATATGACATGAACTGAATAGCGGGATTACAACATAATACCAATGATGGTGCTAGACCACTCCATAAGGAAAGTATTCCCTCTTCCTTGATAATACGTCTAAAGCAATCTGCCATTATAATAACGATACTTTATCAATTAGACTGTCTACTCGTATACAATGTAGCTCAATTTGAATTAGGTGGCATTACATTAACGTCAACTTACCAAAAATACCGGTATACTGAGTCTTTTTTATGACTTTATTGTTATAATCACGAACAGTCACACCTTGCAAACGCAGTCTTGTATTTGCAACCCAAAGTGGAGTTGTTGCAAAAACATTAATAGTACCTGTATTACATTACCAACACTTAGCAAGTTTTAATTCAAGACTGTAAGCATAACATTCACAATTACTATACTGTTTATATTGTTGTCTTTTTTTAAGCTCGTAAAATGAAGATAGCAAGTAGAAACGCATAAACTCAGTACTATAACAAAAATTTAACATCACGATTTCTAATATGACAGAATCTACAGAGAATTAAATTTAGCTATTATATTGAATGCCGCTAATGATCTCGAATTGAAATAAACTCCTTCAAAAATTAAGAAGTGCGCAATTAATTAATTTTCTTATTTCCACTTAAAGTAATGTTCTCTTTCCATAATCTATGAAAATGTAATGGCTTAACCATACACTACAATCGATACTACCAATAGGTTGGTCCAATATTTAATTGATGAACATATCTAAATATATATTTTGAAATAATATTCAAGCGCGAAAGACTTACCAGCAACCATTCCAACCACTAAATCACTAACTGACTGAGTTAAAGGTAGTTGTTTAACCACATCCAACATCCTCAATCCATTGAAGGCATAAAAATAGACAAAATTCGAACAATACAGGCTGGTTAGCACAGGTCCGAAGCCGGTATAAAGAGCAGATCTACGGAGAAAGTGTAGCGACAATTGGTTTAGTTATTAACCCGTGTTGTTCATATGATTCTATTGTATTTGCAATATTTTAAAGTAATGGTTATAAAACAATTTATCTTACAATCCTTCCTCTCGGATAATTTTGGCTAATATCTGATGGGTTGGTTTAACCAGTTTGGTCTGCATATCAACTATACATTGATCATGCAAAGATCCACAAAGGCATACGATGATATCAATGAAAAATATTAACAAAAAGTAATATAAATACAGAGGTATTTATAGTTAGTAAAGTACTGCAATTGCGCCATGTATTTATCTTTCAAGCTCATTCGCAAGCTGATAGCTGCCTAACTCGCACGATGTTCGACAGTTTAATAAGTGCACATGGCTTACTATCAAGCAACAGAATTGCATCAGCCTTATTTCAGCTATTGCTACAGAAATCAAGTCAGCTAGAATTGACTTTGTTAAGCAGTAGCTAAATATACAGTGCATATGTATCACGTGAGCATATAAGTACGCTAAGGTGGTTGTTTATATATCCGAATTAGATAGCTAAACACAGTATTTAATATAAACGCGCTCAGACAACCTGGTTATAAGAATGTCAACGTCAGAGGTTAACCCTAAGTAAAGAATTAATTAAAGTTAACATCAAGGTTGAGATACTGAATCGGCGAATGCTTCATCAGCCCACTATCTCAGATTTGGTGTTAACTCCATGCGGAGATGTTCTCCATTAATTAGGGTTGAGCTAATACGTTGACAGAGTTGGCTGATCATGATGTATCGTAACATACAGTGTACAGTATGAGCTAGCTGGCACATCGAAATAACCCATCCATGCACTCTATGAAATGCTATTCTAATTTCAGTAGAGCCCGTAGGAATAAGCACTAAAGTATTGAGCATGCAAAAAGCTCAACTGCCATACTTGCAAAGTGTTGTGTCTAAATGCCGCCTAAATCTGTACAAAATCTCCTATACATTACCTTGCAGACGAGTTCTAGCCAGATCTAATGGATAAAAGGTAGACATCGCTACCGCGCTGCCCTATTTAGAATAATACGATAATCATGAAAAATTATCAGAAATAAACAAGCTTTGAAGATGATGCACGCATCCATTGACCAAAATTTGCACGAATGGCTATAAACGGACATGATATATGGATAGTAATAATGGATTGTATGAGCGCATATGCAATACGGTTTAATAGCTTGCAACCTTGCAACTTTTCGACCGTTATCAGAATGCGATAGTGTCGACTGTGTACTGTGCAAGGAATGGCTAACGCTAAAGTAATAACATAATCAAAGGCATTCTTACAGTCAATACAACTAACTGTATTGATCGATCGCTATAAATGTTCTGGTTTTACAGTCGATCCTTTTTACTCATGCCTTCTCTACTTACTGTTTTTGACATCAACCTTACTGTATTCATTAACAGGCAACATTGTAGTTATACACAATCAAGTCTAAAATGAACAATTAGCCAAGAATTTAGTCTAGGTAAAAGCTTACAGAAGCTCCAGCAATGGCGTGTGTTAACGCATCGAAGGTTAAAAGCGAAGACATGTTGATGAAAGCTTGTCGATTGCTGTCGTGATGGGCTGAAATTGAAATCGGCGGATTGCTCTCACCAAGGCAAAAAGAAGTTGCAATACTCCTGTCCGCTGACTCCTACTTGACCCGGTCGAGGATTGTTCGTTCAGTACTACGTTCCATTCATGACCTAACCATCCATACAGTATGCGTAATATCACCAGAGATGACGGAAGTGTATGAGCAGCGACGACATCGGCTAGCATGACATTGCAACGATAAAGGTCTTTGACTGCACCGTATGTCTTGTATTGTACACTCGATAGTTGATACCACCATGGGTCGGGTCGAAGGTCGTCCTACTACACTACAGTATGGAAGTACTGGCTGACCCCCAACCCTACCCACCCCTACCTGGCTAAGTATTGGTTGGTTTTCCAACGGTATCACGTGATGGGCTGATACTCGGGTTATGAACCCGAGCTACTAGACACCGTAAGGACTTGACCTCGGATCGCGTCGGACAGGCAGAGTAGCGGACTGGAATGATGGCCTTGTACTGCTAGCTGAAGGGTAAAAATCAATCAATCAATCAATAGCAAGTCATTATTGCATAGGGGATCGAGGGTTAGATGATAAAGGTAAAAGGAAAATCGCTATGGGATAAATGCAATTATACAGCGTAGTAGGTAGATGCTGTGCAAAACAGATGTCAGGCAATGATTGAAAATAGGCTGGGGGGTGTTCGATTGGTCGCCCACCACTGTATTGCATTAGTTGCAAGTGCAAAGGTGCTGATTCATAATTAATTAAAAAGACTTGCTATCTCTTTCTCTCTGTTAGTAGCCCTTGCTAACTCTATCTCTACTGATACTTGGTAACTATCTAGTGTTGACAATTTCAGTACTAGGTACATCATCGAGGTTTTATAAACGGTTTCTGCTACCGATATCTACAACATCTGTTTTGTACAGTAAAGATAAATAAATTGCCAATCGAAATCAACATCCATCGTCATTGAGTAAATAGTGAAAATCAAAAATTGGGTTGATTCTTAACAGATTAGAAGAGGAGAGGGAATAATTCAAATTATATCACTTTAAGTGATGTAATCTGTAATACACTATGCAAAGCGTGAAATACAAGTACTTGTAGTTCATTCGATCTATTTTACTTTATTTCTAGGAGAAATCAGGACAAGGTATCGAAATCTAATCAATTGCTACAATGCAATGAACCAAGTTATAGCTGTACATACTGTACACTTACTTTAAAGTAGTGTACGACGTCAAAAATAAACATGGTCTGCTAGCTATCATTATCGTACAACATCCACTGTAAGATTGACACTATTTCAAGATAAAGTAACAACTTTATTGTGCAATGCTTTATTACAGTAGAGGATGAGAAATATGATGCTAAAATCTTCCAAGTAATCTTGACAAGTTACATAAAATTTGTATTCCAACAGGCGGCAGCCTCATACCTCCATTAATACGAATCATGTTTTAATATCGACTATAAATGCCCCTAGCCAGCTAAATATTATTTTCGATGTGGTTAAAATTGGGATTATAAATAAAAGCTTCATCTACGGTAGCTGGAATAGTACTAATAGATATCAACAGCGTTAACGCTATAAAAGTACTTGAAGGATAACTAGATCTAGAATACTATATCGCATATACTATTGTAATCCAAATAAGAACATTCCGTTTGTCTATTGAAATTGAAATATAATATAAAATTTTAAGAAGAGTACATCCAAGTTTATTTCTTAATTCTAGTAACCCAAAAGACAAAGGCGATAATTTTTTCGTAAATAGTAAACATTAAGGCCGCCGATAAAACCGTCTGCAATAATTTCGTCTCTAATCCTTTAAATAAACCACGAAATCCTTCATGCCTATTATAGTTGACCAGTTATATTCAGTTAAATCATAAATAGAAATGCTGCTATCCATGATATCCTTGTTATACATCACTAGAGAAATGAAACTGCTATAGGAAACAGAGTGTAACAAGATTCATTGAGTTGCAAGACTTACCGTAAGATTTCTCTAAATATATTAATAACTGTACGCCTTCTCTTAGAATTGTCATCCACAGATGCATTATGCTATATAAAATAAAAACAAATTTATTATTTTTATGTTGATCTTTCTACAGCGTACGCATGCCTGAAAGTTGATTCATTGCAAGATCGAAAACTTTTATGATATTCTTACCCTTAGACGAGCTTGAACAATTTGAATAGGATAAGTCAAAACAGTAGCAATTGCTTTCGATATTGCACCCATAAGAAAAATAGTTAATGCCGATATCTAAAATATGAAATGAAAATAATTCTATCAAATCAAGTAAAATGTAAGATTAATAAGGTATTATTATCTATCTATGACAGGCAGATTTTACCTCTACACCGCCGGTATTACGGCGAATATACCGTTTGACAGCTTCATATGACATGAATTGAATGGCTGGATTAGTTACTAGCATCAGCGATGGGCCGAGGCTGTTCCATAAAGAAAAAACGCCTTCCTCCTTTGCTATTCTCCGAAAGCAATCTATATAAATGCCAAATAATTAAATGGCCGTCCTATCTGGCATTCCGGCATGTTACACTGTATCAACAACTGTATTAATACGCGCTATCGGTCTTTAATATCGACTAACCCCACATATTTAAATAAGGTTTCCTGTCGATCAGTTTACGGTTATAATCTAAGACCTTCATTCCTTGCAATCTTAGTCTTGTTGATGCAACCCATAAAGGAGTAGTAATGACAACATTGACTGAGCCTAATAAATATCGATAAACAGGTTCAATTTTGGTTCAACTGCAAACGATTTCAATGCTATATCCTCCATGTACGTTGTTATTATTATTTTATGCTTCGTACTTACAATAATATTTAGATTAAAAACAAAAACTAATTTATAATTATCATTTGCAGCTTAATAAGAGTTATTACCAGCAATCATCCCCACGACAAGATCGCTAATAGATTGATTGAATGGCAATTGTTTCACTCGGTTCAACATTCTTAGCCCATTAAAGGCATAAAAATAGATAAAATTGGAACAGTATTGGCTAAATACCACAGGAGCAAAGCCAGTATACAGGGAAGAGCTATGACAGTCATAAAAAGTTGCGGGTAAGTTATAAATATTTATTTTACTAATAATCATTCGATTTTAGATATATAAATAATTCAACGTAAATCACGAGATCCAATCACAGAGATGATTATTAACACAGTCTAATCACTAATCACTATTCTATATGGATACTAACAATCCTTCTTCGCGGATAATCTTGCTTAAAATTTGATAGACTGGTTGGACATCTTTGGTTTGTGTATCCACTAGACGATCATAATATTATTATTACATGGCAATTCTTTTGAGAGTTTTAATGCTTCACATTCGATCGTCTACAGTATATACTCGTCTAGTATTATGGAAAGCTTACCTTGCAAGCGAGTTTTGGCAAGATCCAATGGATAAAATACACATGTGGACAAAGCACTACCCTACATCATGCAAAAAATAATTGTACTATAAATATTGATAATACCATATAACGGCTTCAATACTCTTCTGTTATAATCATTATTGATTGTCGACGACATTCGCTTGATACCTGTTACAACGGAGTATCGCGAGGCTTTTTTGCCTAATTGCTAACATTCACACCTACTAATCCCATCTTTAGCATGGTACTAGTGCTACAAGCTAGACTGCGCTAACGGTATATCAAAACAGAAGTTGCTGATCCATCAATCAAGAGTGTCATCCAGTATCGCCTGCGACAGGCTGCATCCTACTTGCACTATCGCGATAGTCGTGGTTGTTATTTTGCGAACATAATCTATTGGTACGAGATTGTAGAATGCATCTATCTTTCATTAATGGACAGTACATTAACATGATCTACTGGTACGAAGTTATAGAATCCATTTATCCTTAATGAATGGACAGTACATTAAAAGTAGATGAGAAAATAAGGTTGAATTGCTACTTGTTTATCTGGCACGAGTGCACGAATTTTACTACCGCTATGGGGATATTGATGACAAGTAGACCATAACAGAACGCTTGATAATACAGAATATAGTGTCATGGGAGGAAACTTGGTACGTCGAGTTAAGGATTGAATAACATTACTTTATAGGAAAAAGCTATCCTTCTTATTCTACCAATCAAAGCTGTTTGAATGTCATATCCTACATGTGCTACATGCACTTAATACAGGCGCAGGATCCTCTGTATGACATTAATTATAGCATCGCTTGGAGAGTCTCGAACGATAATACTACAGCGATAATCCTATCCATTCTACTGTACGCTGTATTGTTATGCAGCAAATTTAGACAGTCTCCATTACAATGCATAGTAATACCTACAGTAAGCTCCATAACTGTATACTGTAGGATATGGGATATCTCTGCTCTTTCTCCGCTGTCTACGCCATTCGTATTGACAAGTAACTGCTAGTGCATCAATTCAATTCAACAGTGCTCTATGCATCTGATGGACGAATAATACTTACGGAAGCTCCAGCAAAAGCGTGCACAAATGTTTCAAATGTTAGCAGAGTTGACATCGCTTGAAGTGAAGTCGACTGCAATCTTTCATTTATCGCTGAATTGAACTGAACCACTCGCCAGTTCTTTGAATCCAATGTTGGAGTATTACGCTAGGCAAAATTAGCGTAGTAACACTGCCAATGCTGACCAAATTTTCAATGCCGCACTGCTCAATCAATTCATTCACAGCCCCTAGCGGTAAAGTTGAAACTCTTGGCGCAACCTTGAACCAAATTGCTTACTGTAGTACCGCAATGGCAAGCAACTTGTTAATTGTGACAAGAAGACGAATTGCAGGCAGTAGTTGCTGCGTCACTCATCAGCAGCGACCTGACCGGCGGTGGTGACTGACTTTGGTAGGCTCAGGTGGTCTTGTGCCTTTTCTCACTGAATTCTTGACAGTAGTTGTACTGTATGTACAGAAGCCTTGGTACAGTATGAACTTTGAACCCTTCAACCGGAGTCGTCTGACCTCACCCGTTTGGTCGTGTCAATTCATTCAGTTGGCAGTGACATCTGACTTGGTGTGGTGTATCGGTCGGCACTTCAGCAGTGACATGTCACACGCCTGCAGTACAGTACGTAACGGTACGGTAGGTTGTACAGGGTATACTGTACTGTACGCAACTGTACAGTATGTATTGTACAGCATAATTCGGACGGTACAATACAATAAAGTACTGTATGTATGTACTGTACACTGTACAGCACAATTCGGACGGTCGCCCGGAAGTTTTGGGCCCAATTCTACAGTACGTACTGATAGAAGTACTGTACTGTACAGTACTGTACTGTACTGTACTGTACAGTACTGTAGATCACGTCAAACTACAGTACTGTACTGTACTGTACAGCACTGTACTGTAGGTTGAACCACGATCGTGATGTACTGTACTGTACTGTACTGTACTGTACAGTACTGTACTATAGAGCACCTCAAACCAGCTTGAACCACGATCGTGATGTGCTGTACTGTACTGTACAGTACTGTACCATACTGTAGAGCACCTCAAACCAGCTTGAACCACGATCGTGATGTGCTGTACTGTACAGTACAGTACAGTACAGTACTGTACAGTATAGTACTGTACAAAGTACTGTAACAATACTGTATGTTCACTGTACAGTACAGTACAGTGCAGAGAAAGTCCCGTAATTTCTACACGCGAAATCATCCGAGAGCAGTCTACAGCTAGCCTGCAGGTACCAAATTCTGCTGAGAAACGAATAGCGATGCGAATGAATGGAAAGAGATCCTACCTTAGACTTTGCATCGGATCAATTTGATGCCTTGAAAGCACTTTACACGAAAGATTTAAAGCCACCGTGTGATGATATACAACCTTATGACAATCTAGCTTCGTATTGGGCAGCCGTTCAAAGGCAAACAAATCGCAAGACTGATCGAGCGAGCGCCAGCAATCAGCCTCCTAAAACAGCCGCTGCTGCTGCTAAATCGGCTAGAAAAGGCATCAAGATCAACGACATTGCAACAAAGAGTGCACGTACTGTTAATAAAGAAAAGAAACTCAAAAATAAAGCCAAGCCAAATGTCCTTGAAAGAATGAAACGTATGTAGACACATTTATACAAGATGCAAATTCGATTAGTGACAATCTAGCTAGCTAGCATCGATATCGCAAAACGTCATTACTGCTCAATAATCAGAAGGATAGTCATAATTTTGGCTTACACGCGTCCAAATTGTGTGATTCATGTTTGCTATTCCTTGTAACCTGATAGCAATATTGCTTGTAATTCTTGCAATCGAAATTTCAACTCATTCTTAAAGTAATGCAAATATCTTGCAATTGATATCCTATGCAATTGCAAACATTGCACGTTGATACAGTCAGTACCTTACAATTGGATACACATAGACGAGTGCTATTGTAATTTATTATACCATCAAGATTCGCTGCCCTTGCATTGCTTGCACTGCTGTAATACAATATCTTTTGTGATTCTTTACCATGCATACAAAAAGTTTTATCAAGCGGACCTTTTAGCATACTGTATACAGCGTTAAATGAAAGGAAATCGGTACACATTTGGACTCGTAGCTATGATAAACTTCGAGGAATTTGCCGTGGTTTTGTTGCTGCTTTCGACAAGCACATGAATGTCGTAAGTCATCCTGCGTAGCATGATCGGTTGTATATTAACTCCAGTGTGTAGTACATATACATTCTTTCTATTACCAATATTACAGTCAAATTTAAAATTGGAATGCAATGAATATGATGCATTATCGTCTACACACAAGTATCGCAAATAATTCTGAATGATAACTAATGAACTAACATACACTTGCGATTCTACGTACAACACTCAGGTCCTAGTAGATGTAGACGAAGTTTACACGTTGCCACATTATTTCATGCGTTCTGCCGGTGGAAAAAATTCAAGTAAAGTATTAGCCGAAACTGCGAGTCATGACAGTACCGCTGCGGCTGTTTTACACCTACTCGCAAATGATCCATCCAGTGAAAATTATTCAAACTTGAAGGGTATTCATGCCTGCTCGTTGAAATCTGCCCTCCAATATAAAGTCACTGGAACGGATCAATTTCGGCGTATAAAGAACTTTGATATAACAGAAGATGTTATCAAAACTGATCAATCATTCATCATTGTCAGAAGATATTTACACCAGGTTTACCTAAGGGGTGAAAATATCGTAATGGCATCTTTAGCTAATGTCGATTAAGTAAATTACGATTTAAATAAGAGTATAATGTTATTGTTCTCGGTAAATTTTAAATTATTGTCAGTAATTTATCAACGCTACTAATGTACAGTGCTGTCGTACAAAATCTCAGAATCTCTAATGAGCAGCGGCTTGTTATATAACTCAGTAGGATTCCTGTAATCCAGCAGGATAGTGTAATTACTGTAATTACGTACTGTATTTCGGTACTAGTAATGTGAAAAGTCATTTATAGTGTTATACGCGTTGCTAAAATCTTTACTGATATACAGGTTGTCGCTAATCTTTCGAAATTAAATTAAAATTTTTATATTAGTACGAATCATTGTTACCTATTGACAATTTAACTTTTTCTTGTTGTTTATATGTAAATATGGTCGGTCGTTTTTCTATCAGTGGCAATCATTATAATTATTATTAAAAATGAAACAAAGACATTTTGCTTTGCAATTGTCATCGAATAATTTCAGCGTCTAGATTAAATAAAAATTCAGAGAAGCACGTATTTACACTTGTGTTTCCACGCGATGCACATCTCTTGCATAGCTTACGATAAAAACTTATAATTGGCTACTTCGTTGCAGAGCAGATTAACGAAACCTTGGTCCAGTGGATATAATGTCGATACCTAGCAAAAAAAGTAAGCCTAGGTAGATTTCAGACGTTACCAAAAGTGCTATACGCGTAAAAGTAACATTTTGTTAAATCTTATACAAAACTGAGCGAAAAAGCCTAGGTGAATTCAGACAAAGCCAAAGTATAATAAATTGATATATAGTATTAACTACATTCAACTATGGACTGAAGCTAAGAGTGAAAGGAAATTTCATCAAGATGGCATTGTTTAGTCTACATTTATTGTGGTAAAGGGGTAAATAGTCAAACATAGCTCTCGAAATGAATATACGAGTAAAATTGCAGCGACATCATAATGTACTTGTTACTGCTATAAAATCCTGATAACCAACGTTCTTCTTAAAATTTTGACATCTCATTCATTACACAACCAATATAATCTAGTAGCTTTCCCTCACACCCTTCGTTGCTTAAATTAAAATAGATAATACAACGACATTGCTACAGTACCGCAAGAGTACTCTTAATAATAATCATAATTATAGGTGAATTTGACTTTTAAATCAGGGACTTTTAGAGAAGTCCCTGCTTAAATTCATTCCGCCACTGCACAGACCACATGCATGATAAAAGTAATTCATTACCATTCTTCTACAGCATAGCACTTCCTAGTACTCTTGGCATGACTAACATATGATCTGACAAGTTCACATTACTATCATCTACTTGTTAGTTTCGGCAGTTTCTACAGCACTGGCATATTTATGAGCAACGATTACTGCAACTACAGCTATCTGTAGTCAATATAGCGATGTTCGATAGTTACAACACGGAAGCCAAAATTATCATAAGAAATCTCACTTTACCATTAATACTAAATCCATAGCTAAATTCGATATCTAGCTAGACCCAACAATAAATGAAGAACTCTTCCAAATAAACGCTCGTTTCTTTTATTTTGCACATACAAATTCGGTAATTAAGATAAAATGCCGAAGACATCGGTGTGCAATAACAATGTTTACGGTCTTTATTACATTATTTGAGCCAATTTTATATGAATCAATAAGTACAATGTCCACATTTGGCTGTCCTTTCCACTAAGATCTATATCCACAGTTTCTGCGCCTACCGCGAGCTCTTTCAAATTTAGGCCCTTTGCTTCGTACATAGGGTCTAATAAAAATAATCAAAATGTTAGTAACAAGTTTATCTGCATTCAGAGCAAGTACACCATATTACAGGTCATGAGCTCGTCTTAAAGCCTTTTAATTCTTTTAGTAAAATACTATTTACTGCATCTAGTTCTTTACACTTACTTAGCGTGACTGTGAGGTACACCAGGTGCAGGTCCGAAATGTTTCTGGGCTTCTCTGGCATGCCGAGGTCCTATTGATAAGATCACAAGGGATTAATATCGACGTCCACAGATGCTACTTAGTAAAGTAGTATATACTCATATCGATTCATTACGATAATTGCATAGTATTTCAATACCTTGCAATAACACGGTATTTTGTCCTTTAGGCGCACGCAAAGCGAGTTGGTCAAAAGTTAAGATCTCTCCGCCAGCTTTGAGTATACGCTCACGAGCACCTTCCGTCACATGTAAAGCACATATCTAATCCAGAAATAATCCAATTTGGAACATAAAAAATCTCCATTAGTTAAAGTAGTCCTTATCTGAAATTCATAATATCCAATGGAACGCCGATCCATTAAACTACCACTAACCTTCATTTTTGGTAAATTTAATACGCGAATATCATTGGTAACCGTTCCCACAACAACAGTGATCTTGTTACTATCATACGATTTCATTTTACGAAGCTAAATACAGGAATAGTCAGTTCACATGAGGAAAAGTCTCTAATATTACTTGATGCAGTATTGGTACGAAATATACGTCAAATCGACCAAAAGAAATAATATCATTTACAGAGTATATTACAACATACAATTCTGGCTATTGAAATAGGTGCACGATGTCTTCTACTCATGAACAGACGCTTAAGAACAACTTTGTTAAACGGAGATTCCGTACGTCGAGCCAAGAATCGGTACAACTATTCAATTAAGCATAGAAAAATTGAATACATTCATACAAGTTATACATTTCTATGATTACTTGCAGTGATAATTTGATGTACTAACACTAGAAGAAAATGGACGAAATCATTGGAAAACTTTAACTACAACATGGAAATAGAAAACGACTGTATCTACTAAAGCACGACACACTCAACCGCTATCAAACTTATCGTTTGTCGCACTGTAACAGAATATATTATGAATAAATCCACTAGTGAAATATTGACATCCTTTAAATCCTAGACGGTGTAACGTCGATGGAATGCTTACCTTGACTAGCAATCGTATGTAAACGTTGTTGCTTTGTGGTTCTTTTCGAACCGTTTTCTTAAACTTGTTATGATCGAGATCGACACCCTATCGTGGTTTATAACAAGAACGTCAATAGTTTGACTAAAATGATTCAGTACAAGTAGTATTTTAATAAGGATTGAATGGATAAATTGTAGATACTATTTAACGATCACGCTGTACTCACCATCTTTTTCGACCTGCTAAGCTAGAAGAAAGCCACTTTCCCAGAAACCACTGCTTTATGGCATCGCATTTTTGGGCAGGCGCAGTACTGACCATAGCCGGACCACCTCCATGGCTGCTACAGTACAATATACTGTACACAGCCCTATTAGGTACTGTACTCCATGCATAAGAGATCCTGTACAACTGTATACAGAACAGTACAGTACAGTACTGTACAGTCCTTGCGGTACACTGGTACTGTACTGAACAGTCCATGTCATGCAGTTCCAGTTAGACCTGACTTCCAGTAACGCTCGTAAGCACAGTACGGTACATACATACATACAGCGTAAATATGAGCATGCGCAGAATGTCCACTTTTCTATCTACGGTACAGTAGTACGTTCATTGATGACATTTTGGGTAAAATTACATTTCTAAATCTTAGAATTATACTACAAGTGTAAGGGTCTCTAGGGTACACTGTGCAGTATAGAAACATAAATAAGTAACGGAAATTCATTTTCTAGGGATATCAATATTGTAACCGTATGAATTAATCAATTGATTAACGTATATTCGTATATAATTAATTTTTATTTATTTCCCTTGATGCACACTATAACCCAAGATTAAATACCATTTAAACATCTTATGTTTAATTTGGTATACAGTATGATTATATCCGTTGTGCTTCCTTTACTTAACGGAAACTCATTTTCTAGGGATACCAATATTGTAACAGTATGAATTAACTAATTGATTAATGTATATTCGTATATAATTTTTATTTATTTCCCTTGATGCACGCTTTAACCCAAGATTAAATACCATTTAAACATCTTATGTTTAACTTGGTATACAGTAGGATTATATCCGTTCTGCTTTCTTTACATTAACATAAACTAGCATCAAGATTACAATAAGTTATATGCTTAATCTATTTGCAGAATCCTTTTAGTTGGGAAATAAATCCAACGATCGACAACAATATCCAAACATCGAAACCATTTAATGACAGAAGTTCATTGTTATATCGGTGGTAATTCTGCTAAGGCATATGTATCGTCTAGCAAATCTGCCCGATAAATGATACAATTAGCTACAGTATTTCCAACTTACGAATTGGATAATGAAATTGGTAAAGTAATCCTATAATCCTATACATAAAATAAATTTACCATTAAGATACAAACGTTTGATTCAATGCTAGAACATTGTCTTAGATGCTCATACATTGAGTCTACAAACGCCGTACATTTTTTCCATAAGCGATACATGAATGCACGCATATATAACAGAGACTACCAAGTACATACTGTGTCAGGAATCATCTTCGATATATCGTATTCAACTACTTTTTAAACAGTACATATTACAATGCTTTAAACCATAAAGCACATTACACGAAGTGAAATACTAGTCATAATAAGCTATATGCTAGAAATTTTATTTCCAAATTCTGTACATCAAAGTTAGAGGTACGGTTATAAAATAGAAACATTTACAAATTCTTACTGCCTCAAATACAGAGAATATTACAGGCTATAGTACACCTGAAAAATAATATACTTGCAGCTGTATTTTCGCTTATTCCACAAAGTTAAAAGCTTTACAAAATTGCAATTAGCACACTAGCAAGCAAATAATTCAGAATAAGCAATTCACACGCAGTATAATTACAGAATTTATTATTGCATTGCATTGATAATTAAATGGATAAAAAAGATCAAGTGAGTAAAGGCTAAAATTTCCTTCCAAAACGGTTCACTGGCTGTACTCCATGGAATGTATTATTTATTTCCTATCATAAAAAAATTCTGTATCACACATGCTGCTCTAAATTTAAATTTCTACTAATAAAAGTGAAAGATATAAATGATTACAGTACAAAGTTACGGTCATGATCCAAACATAGAAATTCTACAACGTAATTTAATAACTGTTTTTACCAATTTGGAACCATCTTGGAACCTTTCTATCTTTGTTATCTTTATTTCGTGTTTGTTGTTGTTTTTCGTTAGTTTCTACTCCTTTCTTGATATTATCTGCTCTAGATTTTTCACTAATTTTACTAGATGCTGCATCTAATCCACTATCACTTGCTTGAGTTTTTCTGCTTTAGTAATAGGAATAAAATAAATAACGATATTTCAGAGCAAGTCCAAAAGGAATACAAAAAAGGAAGAAAACAGAACAGTTAATGTTGTAGACAATATATAACAGCATCATCCAACTATATCAACAACCTAATGTCCACATCTCTTAACAGACCAGGAGAGTTTGGATTTACGCGCATATCAAGGTACTGCGGGGCTAAATAACTATCTACAATTTAATGAGTCAAATATTTAGGCAACACAGAATTTAAAGTTTAAAGCATAGCTCATTTACCTAGCTTCGTATCACATCCAACATGAATGATAGCCTTAGGAACCAGCCCAGCCTAAATATTTTTGGTTACTATAACATTTCATTGCATTGGGCGCTGATAATCGAAAGTGATATAGCTTTACCTGATATAATCTCATATCCTTTTTATTTAAAATCCTTTTTGGTGGTGCAGTATCTAAATTTATGATAAAAGTATATTTAATTCCCAGATACTATAAAATCCAATGACAATACAGAAGCGTTGTAACACCTGTAAGATTGCCCTCACAGTTGCCTTACTTCATTTAAGCAAATATTAATTTGGTATAACAACGAACTTACATAAATAGAACGGCATGTTTACATCATTCAGTGTTGATTTTACAAATTTTTCAACTTCAGTTACTAGATCCGATAAAGTATCAAGCGAATGAGTACGCAACACATATTCCACTTGAAATATTTAAATATAACACATTCATTAAAGGTTAAAATGTATAAAACTGGTTATAATTATCTTAGCATATTGTCAAGTATACTATATAATCTTGTATAACGTTCATGTATAGTTTCTCAGACTATCTTTCCTGATCCACTAATGCAATAATTAAACTTACATTTTGCAGAAACTTTAAAAAACGCCTGTATCACAAACTTATCTGGAAAGTAGAAACGAATTGCTGCCTGAAATCATATAAATATCTGTCATGACGAAAGTGTTTGAAGTCAAAGTGTCATTACGAATCGAAATAGTACAGTTGAAATATCTTCAAAATTTATTATGCTATTAACTGGTATCCACTTATACCTTATCGTAAATTTGAGCACTTTCCAAAGCTCTTTTATCTCGTAAATCCTTAGTCATAAGAATCTGCTGATCTTTGTTCGAGTAATGAGATCTGAGGTAATATTTGAGTGTACCAAGATTGCATAACTTAGTTAAAACTTAATTTACATTTATAAAATATATCAGGCTTTGTCCCATATTTACATACAAGTCACGTTACAAGTAAAGAGTATTCTTAAATTTTAAATATCCACATACTTGGTATAATGTAATCCTTGAAGCATTTGTTTAATGTCATCAACGGAAACATCATAGAAATCGTCAGAATATACCTCTGAATTCATAAGTTAATTATGTGTTGGTAAATTAATAAGCCAATCTATTGTATGTTCGGTTGCAGTACAATGTCAAAATTTTACAGAGCTATGATAATAACACGTTCGTAACTTCTTAACCAAACATTTACTATAATTTTTTGATATCAGCAAAATATCTACACTAACCAGAATCGATTTCAAAACCTTCAATGTCATCTAGGTGGTAAACCACTGGACAAAGGTCTACGTCCTAGAGTTCGAAAAATAAGATCATACTCATAAAAAAGTTGCTCTTTCCAACAGATTTACCTTCACTCCTAATACAACGACGAAACTTACTTTGTTCATGTCTCCAGAGTTGCCATCTTTTCCAAGTATGTTATCATCATCGATCTTTCGGCGTTTTACGTCTTCATCTGTGAGAATAAGGTATCAATGTCTAAAATTAATAACGTAAATGACTTCCACATTGAAACGCAATATTAAATTAATCAGCTTTCACTATTGCTGTAATTATATCAAGTGGCATAGATCTAGAAATATAGAATCTCATACCAGGCTTGCCTTCGGTCACCCATTTCTTCTAAATAGGTTATAAAATAATAAAAATGCCATTTAAAAATCCTGAAAGAGATTAATAATCGGCTGTGCAATAGTCTGAGTAAAAAACTGTTAATTCATCTATTTATGTAATGACTGTAGTCAAACATAGAAAGATTCTACTATTGCAAATTTATAAGCCGCTAGATCGAAACTCTACATGCTAGCATTACATACAGATAGATATCTAAACAAATGATTTATTGCTGTAAAACCAAGTTTCAACTACAAGACTATACTTTGATAGGATTATCATTTACAGGCTCCCCAATGTCTGATTGAGAGTTCTCTTTTGATTCGATCGGAGCTGGCACAGTTTCCATCGGTAATGGAATGTCGGGTGCATGAGAAGCGCCTGAATTAGTATCGCTTTCAACTACATTAGAAGTGAATTCTTGAGGAGTTATTTCCGAAAGTTGATGATCATCGGCCTGATGAGACAGCGTTATTCTTGAACCTTGGTAGTACAATTAAGATTTCGCTTAGTTCAATTAGTTTAAAATAATTACAAATGCTAATTTAAATTTTACTACCTGAAGCTTCAATATTTGCAGCTGGCAGATTTGAAGGAACTTTCGTGAATCTCTCTTCTACATTGATCTGACTTGTTTCTATGGTTGTTCCCTCCTCCTCTGCACTTGGTTCAGATGGCACAGAAACGGTATTAGTCACATTAAAGGTCCTTTCCACTTCAGAATTAAGCTCACGGTTATCTTCGTCCTGACCATCTCGATAATGTAATCTAAAGTAAGATGGAGAAATTTGCTTTAAAATCGTTCATGAAGGTCAAAATAAGTAGTTTCATCCGGCAATACCTGATAATTGCTCTTCCGCTATCCAAGCCCAACGATCTCAAAAATGTTCGTTGTAAGGCATTTCGACCAGAGATCTAAAGATAAATGTACAGCGAAATGATTACCAAATTGAAAACAAAAATCTGTACTAGAAACAATTAGAATCTGAGTTCACCTGTTGGTGCATGTAAACACACGAGATAACTTTGTTTGCTTCTGTTGTAAGTAGTGAGGGCAAATTCTTTCTAAAAAATAGGTCATAGTCAATCAATTACTTTTAAGACTTGAATTTCTGTAAAAAATCAGTAAGATTTGAAGCTATTTGTAGTAATACTTTAGCAGCAATATGCAGTGGGCAAGAATACCTGGAATACTGATTCTCCCAGTGCTGTATAATATCCCACAATGATGTTGAAGCTGGAAAGGAATGTTGTAGCCTCGATCCATCACCAACTTGCAAGGCAACCGTAATTTCGTTATCTAAGAGTATATTAGCATGTTAGTCAATAGCTATGATTAACCGAGCCAATTGGTATGCATGCATATATTGTGCCATTCAAAGGTTAGTAGCAGTGGTATCATCTAGATAAGAGAACTTATCACCATTTCGTACTACTACCGAAGCAGGTCATCATTTAATATTTTGATTCATGCTTGTTGTTTTCCATTGAATGGTATAGAATTATTTAACTTTTGTTGTTCTATTTTAACACATGGAATTGACATACAGGTAGCAATGTACTGTAGTACTGTACTATAGAATGCATTGAAAGTGGTACCAGTATTGACTTATTTACCAGTTTTAGGCTTATCCAGCTTAATTAATTCAAGTGAGACATTATTAGGTAGATTAGCGTGTAGAAAAGTAATGGATTCTTGCAAAAGTTTCCTTTGATATCTGTCCAATAGGTAAGAAAGTCATGATCATCGTCAACATTTTTAGCACAAAAAATACAGAAAAAGGACAATAACTGATAAAATTCCATTGAGGGGAATAACTACTATATACGCAATCTAAGTATGTTTGTAGAAAAAGATTTGGATACACTAACAATCTGGCGTTTATTGCGAGAGGAGGTATTCTACTAGCGCGCAACATCTCTTCCATTTAGCAATCACTATTCTACTATTTAACAGCTCAGTGCACACAGATAGAAAGTCATTTATTCAGAACAACAAGTTACCTTAGTGAGTAGAATGATGAATTTAGCTTTTCTTTAAGGCAAATGTTGTCGACAATCTGTTACCCATAAATACAAAATCAATGATGAGAATGGATAGACAAGGGTCCATTTTAATGTGGTAGTCAACATGCGTGAGCATGATTAACGTTAGAGAATGATATCATTATCTATTGTCAAGTTAATGGAAACATGCTAATCATGGCTATATAGCAGTAAACTCCTGTTTTCCCTTTTCGATTCTGTGTTGAAAAATAAACAACATGCACACTTTGAAACTTCATTAACGTGGCTATCCATTCGTCAAGTCGATTTAATCCAATTTGCTCACAATATTAATTACTTCGATGTCAACCATGTCCAATCAATACAACGTCGACATTGACGAAACACTTAATGATATAATTGTTTTAGGATAAGAAAGTTTCATTGTGTTATTCAGTCTATTTGTTTATTTCAAAGAGTGTCTTACTTCAGCAATAGTGGTATTAGTCTTGACTTTGATGGATTTTCTTCTTGCATTAGGCAATACGATCACGACTGATTTAGTAGCCATGTTATTCTTTCTTGCCAAATGAATTGATTCAATGAAATACTTTGGGTAGACTAGGGTAATCCATTGGCTCTAAGGCTTATGCTACACTCTACAAGTGGTGTATCAAACAGTACCCCACAGTATATCGCAATGCTAGAGATTGGCCTGTCATCATTGACTCAGCGGTCTACAGTACAGTTCGAGCACCATACAGTACAGTGTTGACAGTACATTATACTGTAGATGCAGTACAATGTATTGTACTCTCCAGTCATCTTCTTCATCAGCACCATGGAGATACGGAATAATGAAAGCAAAATGGAGTTTTCTTCCATTTTGTCATTCATTCTTTCTGTGTTCTTCGTCAGTACCATAGCAAAGCAAAATGTTGTTTCATTTTGTCATTCATTCTTACTGTGTTCTTCGTCAGCACCGTAGCAAAGCAAAATGTTGTTTCATTTTGTCGTTTATTCTTACTGTGTTCTTCGTCAGCACCGTAGCAAAGCAAGATACAGTTTCATTTTGTCATTCATTTTTACTGTGTTCTTCGTCAGCACCATAGCAAAGCAAAATGTTGTTTCATTTTGTCGTTCATTCTTACTGTGTTCTTCATCAGCACCATAGCAAAGCAAAATGTTGTTTCATTTTGTCGTTCATTCTTACTGTGTTCTTCATCAGCACCGTAGCTAAGCAAAATGTTGTTTCATTTTGTCGTTTATTCTTACTGTGTTCTTCGTCAGCACCGTAGCAAAGCAAGATACAGTTTCATTTTGTCATTCATTTTTACTGTGTTCTTCATCAGCACCATAGCAAAGCAAAATTTAGTTTCATTCTTACTGTGTTCTTCATCGCCACCATAGAGATATAGGATAATGAAAGCAAAATGTACTTTCTTCCATTTTGTCATTCATTCTTACCGTGTCCTTCATCAGTACCATCGAAAAGCAAAATGTACTTTCTTCCATTTTGTCATTCATTCTTACTGGGTTCTTCATCAGTACCATAGAAATACTGGATAATGAAAGCAAAATATAGTTTCTTCCACTTTGTCATTTATTCTTGCTGTGTTCTTCATCAGCACTGTAGAAAAGCAAAATATAGTTTCATTTTGTCATTCATTCTTACTGTATTCTTCGTCAGCACCATAAAAAAGCAAAATGCAGTTTCATTTTGTCATTCATTCTTACTGTGTTCTTCATCAGCACCATAGCAAAGCAAATCGTAGTTTCATTCTTACTGTGTTCTTCATCGTCACCTTAGAGATACTGGATAATGAAAGCAAATGTAGTTTCTTCCATTTTGTCATTCATTCTTACTGTGTTCTCCATCAGCGCCATAGAGATACTGGATAATGAAAGCAAAATGCACTTTCTTTGAATTTGTGATTCATTCTTACTGTATTCTTCATCAGCACCACTACATTTCTTTCATTTTGTGATTCATTCTTACTGCACACTGTACAGTAAAAGGTCCATCAAAATGCTATGTCTCACTCCGAAATCCGATTAAAAAATATTTCTTCTCTAAAAACTGATCCGACTCGGAACGACAAATCTGACGAATTGGCATTTCATAGCACATCTTGCTGTGCTGGAGCTGTGCTAAAACTGCTAATTTATTATTTCGATCTTTCCTTCTCAATTTCATGTTAGGCAGACGCGCCAATGGTTCACTACGTCAATTGAGCTAAAATGCCGATAATACAGTAGAATAGTATACACATTGATCATAGAATTATCTGTAGGATAAAAAGTAGAGATGGAACGATTATATCAGCACAGAATTTCATATTTAAAGAGTAATCCTACTTAATATTAGGTTACAAGGTAGTTTTACTCGATCAACCAAGGTACAGTAGAGTATACTCAGTTTATATGATCTCCTTGTGTCACAACTAGGGACTACGTAACTAAAAATTCTCCTCTCAAAGCCGTAACTCAAAAATTTTCTCTTATACTAAAAATATACGGGACTGGCAACGAATCTACAGTATTAACAAGTCCCATATATTTTTAATATAGGAGAACATTTTTGAGTTGAGTAGTCCCTAGTCACAACTTACAGGTCGTGGCAGCTGTAGACAAAGCTATTTCCAGTCTGCAGGCTAACTAGAAAATTACTGCTACCTCGCTACAGGACTGTAATGCACGATATTTGCACCTTCGTTTCTCTAAAACTAGAGTAGTTTACTTAATTAAAATTATACTTTCAGCTAGCATTCTTTCTAGCCTCTCCAATGGTATATTTTTAAATTATTTCTCTTACGAATTTTTATATGCATTAAGTCATTTTGTAGTTTTTACGGACAAAATGCTTTATTTTACAACACACTCTGCTCTACACTTTGTAAACTGGTATACGCATATTGATGTAAATACCTGTGCTATGAAAAACGTAGCATTTAAGCTAAGTCTCTAGAATATATTACAATTCTCAATGTAGGTTTACCCAGTCTTAGACCTTCATGCATAAACAGAGCCAGCCAGTATACAATTTTAAGTCTGGTACATAGATGAGTCTAGACAACGTAAAGACCTCAATAATCTGAATGCAGTAGGTAAAGACAGGTTGTGAGTTGAATTTATAACAACTGTAACATACGCTTAAGTACAGTATAAGAAAGTAGAGGAATAAAATAGTTATAATGAAAGAACTAGAATGTAAGATATCAAATGTTTCTTAGCATTGAACATCGAAATTTCTTCAATCTCGTAATAAGAGTAATTCTTCTCTCATAAGTTTGCTACTTTATTGCACTTCTTGCTCTGCTCTCACGATGTTAATCTTTTTCTTAGTCCCAGTCAGTTTCTTCAAATATTACTACTATTCTACTGTAGTTTTGACAATACTCTCCTGTCTTCATATACTGTAATATATAGTATGCTGATGTAAATAAATGCATGGCTATTGATTGCTATTGCAATATACTATCTGATATGCTTATGTAGATAAATATATGGCTATTGATTGCTATTGCAATATACTATCGGCTCAGAAATAGCGAAGTGTATATGCGCTACTTTCTGTAGTCCAAAGAAAAATCAAACGACCTGAAAATCATCTTAAATTAGATAATTCGGGGCCAATTATTAGTTACCTATGCTCCAACACTAAAGCTCAGTATGATCGCCGATTGCAGATGACACGATTGAATACAAGAGTGCCAGTATGCAATATCGCCAAGCTAAATAGGTCATAGAGAAGAACTATCAACTTCTTTTACTTCAAGCCTGACGTGAAAAAAAATTGGCAATCAATTGAAGTCAATATTCCTGTAAAAATTGCCAAAACGCTTTTACAGACTACAGTCAGGATGCCATCCAACACTAACAACTGATTTCGCAAATACCACTTGCGCATGTATGAAAGTCATCATTAAATTGATTAATAGTAAATAAAATGAAGAAAGCCTCCTATCTTTTGATTAGGCTTTCCAATGATTGCATGCAAGCCCAATTATATTACAACTAGACTGTATTCCAGAGAGTGACAATCTAAATCAAATAATAACATAATTAGATTGGCGATTTACTGCTAGTAACTCGACCCAAATTGGATAACAACTTATGTATAGATCTATCAATTAGCCTACATAACATGACGATTATTTCCAGTTGAATACCTGTACAATGTTCATTCCTTATTATTGCAATTTGCATATTGACATGAACGATAATTATGGCTGATTTGTTTTTTACTGCTTGATGATACCGCAGTATCGCACTGCCTTTCAGTGCATTCATTCAACTCCTGTTATTCTATCAGACTGAACTTAGTTACGAGCAAATAAATTAATTAGAGAAAATGTTGTCATGAATAAACAACTCTCAATAATTACTAAGAAGTGTTGGTTTATTTCTATGGTACTGTACTGTAATTTAGAACTAACGCCTTTTTTATCACTTTATAAAGTTATGTGATTAAGGATAATCCAATTTTCTTGCAAAAGAATTTTCGTCTATTCATGACTTTTATGTACTTCTTATTAATTTTATTATTTATTCGAATTGTATGCTAGCCTATCAGTACATTAATGTATTGGTAACTGGTCTCTGTATACATCTATGCCACTGATCCATTCGAGTAAAATTTTTCATGGATGTATACCGATCGAGGGAACCAAAGGTAAAACTCTCCATTCATATCCTAAATACTGATCGCATTGAGCTTCTTTGGTAGTATGTCTAATGTAAGTTACCGTAATAAATATCGCCTATAACGACCAATTTGGAAATTACATTCGTAACCTTAATACGAATTATACCGAGCTTCCTTAGTAGGTGGTCGGAACGGATCTTTCAATATTGATTGAATATATCAAGACCAATTAACTATTGTGATCCTGTCATAACTCAAGTATCTATATGATGTCTTAATAACATAATTAATAAAAATTTCATTAGTCTGATGACCTTTACATATAGTTAAAGAAAATGATTTAGTTTTATTCCAATTTAGTAAAATAAAATTATTGTCAAAGAGCGTCAACATCGGATAGACAACATTATCATCTACTTTTAAATGATTATGCTATACCTGTCGAAATTCTGTTTTAAAAATCTTCCTCCCTCCCCTCATGTTATGAAGATGCTTTTCATTTTATTTTTTTTATAAAATTACGTTATTTCATTGTTTTCTTGACTTTTACGACATGAATAATTTTGTCAAAAACAGAGAATATTATTGCTGCTGATTATCTAAAATTCTTGCAATAACCTTCCTCCCCCCTCCCATCAATATAATTTGTGATGTGAAGGAATACAATTTACTCCGCTGAACAGACGAAATTCGATAGCTTTAGCCTTAATAAGTTCTGACTAAAACTACAGCATTGCTATACATTTGTACTTTCATCAATTTACAAAATGACCGATTTCGCATACGGCCACGTTCAAATATATGCCTACAGCAACTCACCTCAGCTATCAGTATCTAGTCAAATTGATATTAGACCTACAGCAAATCATGATCTTTCCAGTATTTAATTCAATTTACAATACGATAAGTAACTTGAATATACGCGTATAGTAACTTATTTCAGGTATTAGTATCCAGTAAATTACGATTATTTCAGTATATAATTTATCATTAAATATAAAATACATTTCTTAGTAAGCATATTAGCTACTATTACTTCCTACAGCGTATACGTATTGTGTTTTAAGGTCAAAATCCGCTATATTAAGTAACAGACAGCGTTTAGAAATAACTACCGGTCAAAATTAAATGTTTAGTAGCATAAATGGATCTATTCATTTCTTATGACATATTAAGAAACGAGTTGGATATTCAAAAAATTCTACGTGATCATTCATAATGGCTAATCCTAATTAGTATCCATAGATAATTCAATGTGTCCTTATTAAGTGATGAAAACCACGATGTATTACAATGTAAATGAGAGGGAATAGAGCATAATATTAGGTAGAATTGCAAAGCAGAATAGCAGAAATACTTTTTAAATATCATTAAGATTCGATCACTACTAGTCATACTTTGTTCTACCGGTGGAAAAACTATCAAAAATGATGAAATTAATGTTAAAGGTACTGTTAATTAAGGCAGTTATTATAATTTAATTAGCTAATTAACAACGTAGTATGTCAGACACAAACCATAAATCGCTAATAAACACTCCATTTATCCAGTTTGCCGCAGCGTCTATAATTTGCACTGCTATATATGCGTTATTTTTTACAGCATATTATTGGTAAAAGTGTATTGACATCTGATAATTAATAGCCATAGCAAAAGCGTAATTAGCCACAGCTTAGGATATCAAAATGGGTTTGGTTTTACTATATAGAAACGTAGATACTGTAGATTCCCTCAAAATTGATCAATCTTGTTCTAATTATTGGCAATTTGTAAAGGAAATTGTCCATTACCACTCTCTTTTGAATGATTCTAATTAAAAGAAATAAATTCTAGAAAGTTAAGGGTGATTTCACCGCTAATACAGTATACGGCCTGTTTCTATTTTACAATCCGTAATTGTCACTTTTTCCAAAGTAATTCGATCACTACTTATAAATTATAATTCAATTTTATGTACAAAGCACGGATAACTACACTATACAATAATGATTGCTATTAAATATCACTTTAAGCAAAGTATGACGAATGCTTCCTGTAAAAGAAGCAATTAAAATTCCTTGTAAAGAGTAAAATAACGAGCCACAAGAAGGAAATTCGTAAATTGTTTATTAGTAAATGAAAGTTATTATTATTTTAGTACACATCCAACTTATGTTTACGTAGTCTGTTCTTTGATTGACAGAAAGTAGACAACCAATGAATTTGAACATATTGAAATGGGCAGCTACGAATACTAGGTTACTCTATCGTGTAATCATTTTATATCAATTCCAATTTAATGCATGCATCAATAGCAAGCCTTTACAATGAAGAAATTCTTCTCATCATCTGTTGTAAATGCCGTCGTTGTATGATGAAATCCTTTCAAATCTGGAATAATCAAAACGATTACTACACACGTAGGCTTAAACTTTTTCAATATCAATCAATCTTAACGACTCAAATCATTTGCCAATTTTAAACAATGGTGTTAAAAAATTTCATTTTATCATTCACTTATTCTTGTTCACATACCAATTTTCATGTAATTTGACACAATACAGAACATA